TAATGACTTGTTTATGACTCGTTTTGTCAAAGTTTAGGACTTGACTTGAACTTGCCCATCCTGACTTGAGACTTGACTTGGACTTGCAAAACAATGACTTGAGACTTGACTCGGACTTGAGCGCAAAGACTTGAGACTTGACTCGGACTTGAGCGCAAAGACTTGAGACTTGACTCGGACTTGAGCGCAAAGACTTGAGACTTGACTCGGACTTGAGCGCAAAGACTTGAGACTTGACTCGGACTTGAGCGCAATGACTTGAGACTTGACTCGGACTTGAGCGCAAAGACTTGAGACTTGACTCGGACTTGCAAAACAATGACTTGGTCCCACCTCTGGTAGTTAGGTCTGCTTTTGCACAGAAATATAATCAAAGCACCAGAAAGCATCAAACTTAATGCTAAAAGATAAAAAAAAACAATTAAAACTGACTAAAATGTGATATTTGTTAGCATTAGTTAGCATACAATTAAAAACAAATGGAGAGAAAAGATTCAAAAAAGATTAAACAGTATAAATCTGTCTTTGAGTTTAAATTGAGCAGTTTCTTTAAGGAAGTTCATTGAGTATCCTTCAAGAAAAGTATTAAAAATGACAAACAAAAAAATAATGTTTTGGTTCTTTTCAGCACATAATGCTAGATTCTACTTGTCGTGTCCTGTTGCGAAAATTGTCCTCAGTTGCGTGAGGAAAACATCTGGCAGCAAATGTAGAAATAGTCATAAAAACTCTGGGTGTGTTCACATTCAGTATCTTTGAATGTGTTATAGTTTTCCAGTTAGTCTCTCCGTTTCCGGACAGCTCGTCTTTTCTGAAGGAGTGCTTATCACACACAGACTTTGGCCTTGATTAGGATATCTGCGTAACCAAGACCTTTGAGTTTCAGTTGTATTGAGGACGTGGCATTGAGCTCAGAAAACTCCCCCTTTCTTCTCTCCCAGGATCCTGTGAAGTTTAGGTTTCATTTTCTGGAGAAGTGTGGAGAAAAGTTGGGAGTCACAGACAGGGCAGGGGGAGGAGGAAAGGGGGAGTGTAGTGACAGGAATGCAGAGGAGAAGAAACACACACTCTGTAGTAGACAGTAAAGGTACTCACTGATGCTTGTCATATTCATGTTACTTGTTCTCAGAAATATAACAAAGTGGAACTGGATCAGGATGTACTTTGTGTATTTTGGTACACATGTTTCTTATTTTCACAAGCTGTATAAATAGAAAAGTATTTCAAACGAGTCAAACATCAACTGAAATGGTGACGATATAGGTTGTTTGTTTTTGCTGCCCCCCAGTGGCCATAAATATACTAAACTAAATCTTAAAGCCATCACCAAAAATACAAACACAAAACGTGAACTAACACTTGACTGACAGATATTTAAATAAACACCAAACACACACAATCAAGTTACAGATGAAGCTTGTCAGGGAACATTTAGTAAAAAGGTGTATTTGTATTCATAATGGATGAAGCACAAAATACATATTACACAAATATGTGAATACATCTTAAATGTTTGTGGTCAGGAATAACATATTGGTTGGCTTAAACTGTAAATCAATGCAAAACGGTGAACATGAAGATATGAAACTACAAACTACCACGCCAGAGTTACTGCACGGGTCTGATTTTCAAGACCCGCTCCCGCCCCGCACCCGCGACGTGCAATACCGAACCCGCCCCGCTACCCGCACATATTGCCAATTAGTTCCGCAACCCGACCCGACCCGTCGGCACAAGATCCGCAACCCGACCCGAACCCGCATATATATGAGCAGTGAAAACATGCAATTATTAACACACGCAGTTGCATATTTGTCTCAAAAAGCGTGGGGTGTTGGTTATTTTCTCCATCTAGGAATCAAAAGCCTCCCAGACGTTGGATTTCGCTCTTGAGGAAGTGTTATTGTAAAGGCTGTATTCTCCGCTAGAGCTTCAGCTCAGCCATCTCGAATGTGGCGCGCACAGCAGCAGATCGATGCGCTGCAGAGGTTATGATTATGCGGGGGAGAGGTCTGAGGATTTAAACATTAAACTAAATTATTATTATTTTAATATATTTATTATGCAATACCCACGACCCGACCCGCATCATCTTTGTTTTACCCAGACCCGAACCCGCAAAAAAGCGTTTGAAAAAATACCACCCGCGAATCACCTTTTTTGCGGGTCACCCAAATGATCGCCACCAGTGTTTAAACACCCAAACAGGAAATATCAGAGTGGCTCAGTGGTGTGGTGGTGTTACCAGTGGCGACTGGTCATTAGGGGCACAGCCCCACCTAGTGTCAGCAGAAAGTATTAAAAGTAATGATTACAAAAAAATGCAAAAGATAAATTAAAAAATATATAAAATATATTTTAAGATCATGTTTATTCATCTGATTCGTCTGTACATTGCTGTTTTAGTCTGTGTTCTTCTAATTAGTGTCTACAGTGTGTGCCTATTGAGCTGTTTTGAGCCATGTGGGACAAAACCCGATCCTGCCCCTCCCTCTCCCTGTTTAAGTCAATGGTGACTGTAAAAACTACACTGCGCATGCTCAGAGTATTGTCCTATTTAATGTGTGTGGCAAAAAAATAATGACCATAGGGGCATAGAGCTGCCATCCCACCATACGTCATCTCACATAATTCAGAGCTGATTGGCTGTAAGTACGTGTGCCGCGAAAAGTGTGGTGTGTGAAGAGGAGGAGAGAGAGCTGCAGTGAGGCGTCCTACAACCTGGAAATAAACTGCGCATGGCTTCCCTCCGACAAAAAGCAATGATATTTCTCCATAGGATTTTAGAAAATAGCTCCAAATAAGATCTGTGGGAAACAAACCTGTTAGATAAATGCACGTTTTGTTCAGCCGGATAATATCCACATGTCTACCCTACTTTTATAATTTTCGAATCATAAATCTATTGATTAGATCAGATTTATGATAGACTTTTGAAACTACAAGAACATAAGGAGGACTTTTACAAAAAAGTAATAGAGATTTTTGTCCAGAAGGATAGGCAAATGGACTTCATCTTCATGTCAAGGTAAGACTGCAATTTGATTGAAAATGGGATCTTACTAAGAGAGAACAATTCAATATTTAAATGATACAATTACATTTTTTGGGTATCCTTTTGTTGAACTGTCTGTTTAAAATTAATTGAAGCATCAGACAAAAAAAGCTTTTGAAAATAATATGATATTTTGATTTAGGTCATATAACCTGAAGAGTCAGAGCCTCACCAGCCATGAACCTCACTGCAGAAGCTTATATATAGACATCTACGTTTTTTGTGCCCCACCACTTTTGTACATATAAAAACGCCACTGGGTGTTACATTTATCACGTCAGTCCAGTCAGAGAGAAAAGAAAGACAATGGACATATATGAACTCTATCAACAACACGTTCAAACACTAGAATAAAAGCAGCAGCTGTGTTAACATCTGTTTACCTGTAGAGGGCAGTGTTGCACCATCAAAGGAGACTATTATTGGAAAATATCACATAACATGTATTTTCCCCTCTCTGTTAGTTCATAATAATATGATTTATAAAAGGGGCTGATAGTATATTTGTTCTTACTAGGGTTGAATGCTTAATTTTCACAGGTTAATTTTGTATACTGTGCTAGAAAACAACGTTTCATTTGCTTTTTATGAAGACACTTGAAAGGAACTTACTACTTATGGTTAATTTGTTAATAAGCTCCTGTTAGTAATCTATTAATGACTGGTTGTTACTCCACTCTCAGTTGTTATAATTCTAAATCAAGATGGCATTTTATTTAGCGTTATGTTTTACCTTTGTATCAACAGATATGTGTGTAAACTGTGTCACTTGAATGTGCTGTAATAATATCTCACATCAGTAATATCACTCGGTCTGCCTATTTCCATCTACGCAACATCAACCGCCTCCGCCCGTCCCTTAACCCTAAGACCACCGCCATTCTTGTTCACACCCTGGTCACTTCCCGCATCGACTACTGCAACTCCCTTCTCTTTGGTCTCCCTCTCAAATCCATCCACAGACATCAACTGGTTCAGAACTCTGCCGCCCGCATCATCACCAGAACCCCCTCCATTAACCACATCACTCCTGTTCTTCAGCAGCTTCACTGGCATCACCAGAACCCCCTCCATTAACCACATCTCTCCTGTTCTTCAGCAGCTTCACTGGCATCACCAGAACCCCCTCCATTAACCACATCTCTCCTGTTCTTCAGCAGCTTCACTGGCATCACCAGAACCCCCTCCATTAACCACATCTCTCCTGTTCTTCAGCAGCTTCACTGGCATCACCAGAACCCCCTCCATTAACCACATCACTCCTGTTCTTCAGCAGCTTCATGGCTCCCCGTCAAATCCCGTATCGTTTTTAAGATTCTGCTCCTCGCCTTTAAGGCCATCCATAACCTCACTCCTCTGTACCTCTCCGACCTCCTGCACATCAACACACCCATCCGCACTCTCAGGTCTTCTGCTTCCCTCAGCCTCACTGCACCCCCCTTCCGTTTAACCACCATGGGGTCTAGAGCCTTCAGCCGCTCTGCACCCCGCCTGTGGAACTCCCTCCCACCTGACATCCGCAACACTGACTCTCTCCCCATTTTCAAATCACGCCTCAAAACATATCTCTTCACACTCGCATATCCACCCTGATCATTATCCATCACACATCCTATGTTTTTATTGATTTGGTTATTTGATTGATTTATATACTGCATTGTCTTGTTTATGTCTCTTATGCTGGTGTTATGTATTGTGTATCTTGTTTTTTATGTGTTTGTACGGCGACCTTGAGAGCCTTGAAAGGCGCCTATAAAATAAATGAATTATTATTATTATTAATATAGCAACTAGGTACAGATAAAAACAATTAGTCATAATTTCAGTAACTAATCAAGGAACTCTGAAGATTTGATTAATAAATACTGTGCAGCGAGTATGGTGGAATCAACAAATTGCCAGGAAGTGAAGTGCAACTGAATGCTTTACAAACAGGTGGCAGTTCTCATAGTTTATTCACCAGATGGACCGGAAGCTGTGTTTTTTTTTAACTTTGTTGAGCACACTTACCAGAATGAGGAAGTTTAGTGCCTCCCACTGCGTGTGTTCACATGCTGCGACTGCACCGCGACGACGAGACCTCCGATGGACGTCTACCAGGAGGCTGTGGGATATCTCACGTCACAGCATGTACCAGGTGAGACAGGAAGACGCGTTTGATAAGAAAAAGTTCATTTATAATGCATTATACCTTCTGTTTTAACAACAACACTGAAATAACCCAACCCCCGAAATGTAGTCATGCACTCATTATGTGTTGAGAATGCATGCATGTGTCTACTAGGGATGTGCATCTCCATCACTGAGGCCGATGCGATGCGCATCTCGATACGTTGCCACGATACGATACATTAACGATACATTTGAAACACCAGGTGATGCGATACGATACGATTCACCCCTGTTGCGATACAGTTCGATACGATATGATTCAACATTATGCGATTCGGTGCGATACGATGCGATTCAACACGATGCAAAAATAATGATACTTCAATATGGTACGACAGAGGATTTTTGTTTTATTCCTTATATGCAGCAAATCATACATTAACAAAAAAGTGCTTTACATATTTGGTACTGCACATCCCATCATGCCGTTTATTTGTTTACCTTTAAAAGCTCTCCAGAGTACAATTGTATAACACCTCACAGTTAAACAATGTAAGGATGCATTGCTCATGATTAACAATGTGCAAATAACAGCTACCATAGAGCAATGCCCATACAGCTGCCAGCCTGATGTGCTTAACACTCATCCATAGGCTAACTCACCAGATAGCAGAAAGCAGAGGGTTCTATAGGAACAATAAAGAATACAAATAACCTTTCACAAACAGGTATTTCATAACTGCTTACAGTAAGGAAGACATTTACATTATTATTATTGGCCGTCACAGTCTGCTGTAAACTAAACACCACTCTCTGACAGAACACCTCACTGAGTGATTTAACTCATGTCTAACTTTCAGGTTTCTCATTTCAGCCGCAGACCCCATGTCGCCTCTTTATGTGCGTCGCTAAGTTCCTCGTACTACTTGTGTACTTTAAATCGGCTCGGCATCGTTAACAATTTGCGAGCGATTTTTCAAGTTGACCGTCTGTGCCGTGCACATATACCATCAGGACGTTACTGATGGGGTGCGGCTGCGGAGTGATACTGTGTGTATGCAAGACCGCATCTAGGACGGATCTATGTATCATGGCTGTAGACCTGTTAAGTAATAAAGATACCTCATACAAAGGTCTACGGATACCTTATTACTCTCCATGACCTGCGGTCAACTAAATAGCATAAAGGACTATTACACCGTCTTTCTTGAACAATCCGAAGTCTTGGCAAACGTTTGATTTGTAGGTATTTTTCGGTGCGCTGTGTTTCTCTTTCTCCTCAACTTCCGTGTGTGTTGATAACTGAGACTCTCGGCCTCCGTAGTGGCGAAGCAAATATCAAAGATCGTCTCTGCTGAGCGTTGACAAGATGAGGGGATTTTATATGATGAATCGGTTTTTTACCGATGCAAAGACGCTACGCAATCGATGCATCGCGAGTTCAACCCGGTTCAACTCAAACTGTAGCCGATGTGCCCTCTTTCAACCGGTGCACTCGCATCTTGAACGTTTATGCCGGTGCACCGATGCGAATCGGTGAATCTTAACATCTCTAGTGTCTACAGCACAATCTCATCATTGATCTTTTAAGGAACAACTTCACGAAGAGGGGAAGCAGATAAGGGAACTTACCAAATATTCATCCCACATACTACATTACTAGTGATGCATCGTGTGTGTTTGTGTGTCAGCTGCAGTCCAAACGGAGACTGAGGTCATGGAGGAGGATGTGTTCCAGGAGGAAGCCGATTCCTGTCCTCTCTCTCCTCTTCATCCCCAGAGCGTAGACTTCCCCGACACCCCGGTACGTTTTTATGTTTGAAGATTCAAAACCTTTTTATTATTTGTACAGGTTGTCCGTCCTATTATTCTGAACGTGATATCTTCGTCCGAGGTATTTCTTTACATTTGGCACAATCTTTTGTTATGTAGACAAAACTCAAGAATGAATATGCACATTTTGGATTTTGCACACAATGTCTTGAATGAAGTGATTCACTTTTTCGGTACAAACAAATGTAAATTCGCGACAACTTTGAGCTGCTTATCATCGTTTTTTTTATTGTACCAGTTGTTAAGGAAGGGGAAAACATGAGGTTTAAGTGGGGGAAGACTTTATGTACATTTCATTACCGTATTTGTTAATACAAAAACAATACGTGAATTCATGTTTGCCTCCACGTCCAACTGACTTCAGACCTTTTCTGTCCCTATCAGAAAATGTATTTAAAAAAGCCGGGGAAGTAAAAACAATAATCATTCAATGTTATCGTTGTGTTTTGTTGGATTTACTTCCTTTTTCCAAACCTCAGTGTGTAGAAAAGTATTGAAGAAGTAACCTGTTGACTTAGAGACATTTGAGTTTTATTACACCAAACAAAAGGCATATTTCCTGTTTTATGACTATCAATTATTAATCTGATTCAGCCTAATTGTATTTACTTGTATTTCAAATGTCCCAACACTGACTTTGGGAATATTTGTTGGACGCCTGTGATTCCAGACGTTATCCAGCCCCGAGGAAATGCTAGAGAGGAGGCTCACGGTCCTGAAATGCATCGTGGAGAGTGAGGAGGTCTATCTCAGAGAGCTGGAGGCCCTGCTGATGGTAACAAACACATTCAAATAATTATCTTATTTTAGCATCAAAACGTGCTGTCAACTCACGCTATTCTCTGGTCTATTCTATTTTGCAAAAAAGTGGAATAACCCCGTTTAAAATTACAGTTAAACTTCCCCTTTGTTATTCTGCTGTCACCAAATAAAAGAAAATAACTCTTTATATCATGTAGCCTGCCGGAGAATCAGAAAATCACTTTTATTTTGAGTCCAATTTGAAGGTAAGGTAGTCCTTGGTTTGTTTTCTGTGTGTATACTGTATCTGAGTGTGAGCTGCTGTAGGGTGCGGTCAGCGTTGTGTCATACAACATTATGAGTGTCCTGATTGTTAGCTTCCTTGTTTAACAACACTATGTTCTCCACTAGAGACGAGGTTCCCCTTTTATTTCTCTCAGAAGATTGATACCCCTCTCATGCATAAAGTTAATATGAAGCTACGGCTAGCAGTTGGCTAGCTTAGATAACAACATGCTTACTGTAGCTTATGAACACATTTGAGAGAAGTATCAATTATCTAATTTAAAGGTTCCCTATTATACTGTTTTTCATCAATATATCACAGGTCTCAGATATATACAAAACATGTCTCTGAAGTGTTTGGCTCCAAACACCAAACAGATCATTGCAGCATTACCCATAATCCCCTCTGTTTCAGCCCTGTTTCCAAAGTGCTGATTCTCTGTCTGTTACTTCAGATGAAAATAAGGAGCCCCTCCCCACGCCCCTCTGAGAGACATTTGGTTAAAAAGAACTCAATGGTGCTCTAGGAGGAGATTCAGGTGATAAGGGGGGGGGGGGGGGGGGGTTTACCTTGGTTGCTGATTGGCTAATGGTTACACAAGCCAACAAACGTTATGACATCATAAAGTGGCCAAAATCTGATCAGCTCATTTTCAGACAGGTTTTTATAGAAATGGATCAGGATGAAAAGAGAGGGGATCTTTTTTCCTGAAACTTTCAGAATCTCTTTCCACAGAGGGGACACATGTTGATGTAGAAGAGACATGAAGAAGAGGGGACACATGGTTATGTAGAAGAGACATGAAGAAGAGGGGACACATGGTTATGTAGAAGAGACATGAAGAAGAGGGGACACATGGTTATGTAGAAGAGACATGAAGAAGAGGGGACACATGTTGATGTAGAAGAGACATGAAGAAGTTGATTTAGCATAATAGGTGACCTTTAACTTCTGCAAGAAGCAGGACGTGATGGTGCAAGAACAAATACACCACATTTCTTCTATTTGTCCGCTATTTAAAGCAACTGCCTGTATGCATTATTTTCTTACACAACGTGACTCATTCGACCCAAAAAAACGTGCTCAGAGTTGTGGGTGTGTATATTTCTTACAACATACTGTGTGTGTTTGCTGTCAGCAGTGCTAAAGTTGAGAGGCTGCTCAAACGCACCTAAATGAAGCTTTGGGGGCTGAACTCTTGATTCAGTACATTCACACTTTGCATCTCTGCTTGTACGGCTCAATTATTCCCCTTCTTTTTATTTCCCTGCAGCCCATGAAGGCCCTGCGCGCCTCAGCCGGGACGTCCAAGCCGGTTCTGTCCAGTCAGCAGGTCCAGACTGTGTTCTACCAGGTGCCTGAGATCAGTGACATGCACCAGAGCTTCTTCTCGGGCCTGAAGGAGCGTCTGAACGCACACTGCCGCTCTGAGCCCGGCCCCGGGGAGGACGGGCAGATGAGCTACACCGGCTTCGAGCTGGTGGTGGGGGACCTGTTCCTGAAAATGGTGAGTCGTCGTCTATTGTGTCATGAATAAAAATGTACCTAAGAAATAAAAAGGCTACAACTCGTTTCCTTTGTTGGTTGGGTTAGGTTTAGACATGAGTCGTGGGTAGAATTAGGGTAGGAATCCAATTAGAGTGAGGGTTAGGGTTAAGGTCATGCTATCAGGAAGTCCGAGAGCAGTGCCTTCTCAACAATGGCTGTTTGTTTCAAGAAAAATGACTGTCAAAAAAATAGCCTTGGTCGCATTCATTCACCTCATTTATATTTTCAATTCATTTTCATTTAATCGTTTATTTAGCAGGGACAATGCACGTTAATGAATATGCCGGATTTTAGCTTGGAGCTAATTTCCATCCCTCACATAAAACATTTAAGAACACGACAATTATAAACATAGCAAAATGAAATACATGATATGCAAAAGGTGCAAAAGAGCAAGAGCAGCATACACGTGGCAATACAATGTAGCAGCAACGACATGTAAAGTGCAAGATAAGATACAAGAGATGCATACTGGGGGGGGGGCAGTCCATGTAAACATTTATAAATAAAGCACATACTTTTAAAAGACTTAAAATTGTCAAAACTCAAGAAATTGTGTTTTTCAAGGATGGTACAGAGGTGGTATGAACGTGGCTTTCTGTCAAACACCTTGATAGCTCTCTTGTACAGCTGTTCTATGGGTTTCAGGTTTGTGGCACAAGCAAACGACCAGTTTGTAAAACAGTATTCAATGTGGGATAGAATCATACAGTGGAGGTCTGACTTTGCAGCATTGACAGTTAAGAAAGGTCTAATGTGTTTAAAATGTTGCAAGTTGAATTTAACGGTATTGGATACTTTCTTAATATGTTTCTTAAAAGTCAAGTTCGAGTCCAGTATGACTCCAAGATACTTGAAGTGGGAGACTAGTTCTATTTCTGCTCTGTTTAAAACACGTTGGATCCTTGATTTTGACTGAACATCACGCATACTGTTTTTTTACGTTGAACTGTAAGCCAATGTCATTGTTTTGGTTAAAACACTTTCTGTTGCTCCAAGTGGCTAAACAGTCAATCGATGCTGCTCCCATTAAATCTCAAAACTAATATCCAGTTTTTTTTCTTGCTGTCAATGATTTACAGTTAATATGATTTAATTTAATTTGAATACAGTTTTTAGTATTCACACATCCATATAACCTTTTTGGATTGTGTTCATTTTTACAAGAACAAAATGGTATGTATTGTTTTAATAAGAATAAAACCAAACCAACATTTAAAAAAACATACATGTTTGCCTGTCTCAGCACAGCTGTAACTAATGACGCTAACGAGGGCTCCACAGTGAAGCCTGTCAGAGAGCCAGCTGTGTGCAGCCCTCGTTAGTGTGATCTGTTCCACCTGTGTCTCTCCTGCTTTGGGGAGGGCCAGTGTACACACCTGTTAACCTGGGTTGCGGTCGGATAGTTTAAAAATCAGCTCCTAAGTTCTAACCCTATCTCCTATTCCTTGACCTCTGAGTGAAACGTCACGGGGTTAAGGGATAGTGGATAGGAGAATTCAAAAGGACTTAGGAGAAGAGACTGCGGTACTTTAGAGAATCCGAATGCACTTTCACTCTCCGACTGTTTATGATGCGCCAGCGGACGTCATTTTGTGCGTCTGCTGCTGTGGGGAAACTATGGAAACTACAGTTTTCTATACAGCGGACTACAACATGGATGTTCAATAAGAACGAGGGACTCATCTAGAGACTCTGCACCGTGCTCTGATGGTGTTGCTTTATGCTTTATGAACGTGGACAACAGAGAAACATATTCTTCATGACCAAAGCTGGAATTGAAATAAAAAAGGAAAGTGAAACTTATGCTCGTCACCCTCTCCCTCCGGTCCACATTAATACAAATGATCCCAACACGTATGATTATGAACTATGAACATATCTTAAAATCAATACAAATGTATTTATTATACACGTTAGTCCTTAACATCTATCACTGTGTATATCACCATTCAAACATCTTTTAAAAGTTGAACAAACCCCACACAGCTCAGTGAAATGTTGACTTTATTTGATCATTTCAGTAAAAATTAACGTTAATATTTCTCTTTCATTATAATACTGATGAACGTTCAGAACAAAGCACTTTGGCAACTTACCACATACGTTTTAAAATGCTTAATAAGCACTGTAACTTTCATGATATCATTTCTATATATACAGATATAACTGTTCTTGATAGTTCTCTAAATGAGGGTGTGTGGCAAGCGGCTTAAATCAGAGCTCATCATCAGGCACATGTTGCTATGCTAACCTCTCTTATTATGAACGCTACTGAGGCTGATAGTAACATTATTGGAGCTAAGATGAAAGCAGTGAATGAATACAAATGACCAGAAAACAAACCTGTGTTTTGAATCTGGTCTGAATGAGTTTGAAAACACTGGAATCAGAGTCCATGCAGACTCAGCATGACTCATGATCTGAAGTGTCCATAAACGATGTGTAACACCAAAAACAAAATCTTGAAATCTTGCAAATATTTGCACGTGGCTGAGGGCGAAAAGTGCATTTGGAACAGATTTAGCGAATAAATTATGAACTACAAGAAGTATTTGACGTCTTTATATTCTGGAAGACAATATTAGAACAATGATTTGCATTTTGAACATTAGATCATAAAACAATGTTTTAGAAACATGGTGTTTCCCCCCCCCTCGTCCCACCTCCCCCAGTCATCTATCTGATATTCTGCGTCTGCAGGTCAACCAGCTTGGTCTGTACGGTGGTTTCATTGGAAACTATGAGGAAGCTGTTCAAGTCGTTCGCAAGTGCACACAGTTGGACCCTCGCTTCCGGACCCTGGCCCAGGTACCACACACCTCCAAAGGAGCACGTACTGGGACATGTTAAAACTTATCCTAACCTCACCTTTTCTTCCGTCTCTCCAGAGCATGATGTCCAACATCGGCTCGGACAAAACTCGTACCAAATACACATTTGAAGGTACAGAATCTAAATGTGTGGTTTTTGTATGACTTATTGGCGGACACAGTGTCTGATTGCTGTTTTTGTCATTGCAGCGCTACTATACAAGCCATTGGACAGAGTCACCAAGACCACACTTGTGCTGCTTGTGAGATAATCATTCATTCTCAAACCTCCCATAGCTTCTACTGTTCTGATTATGCTCATCTTTCCAACCAACTCCAGTACCAGGAAATAGCCTTATCCTACTTTCTCCCCACACTTTCTGACTCGGCATCCTCTCTGTGATCCTGTAGGACCTCCTGAAGACGACTCCAGAAACCCACCAAGACTTCGCACTGTTACAGGAAGCTCTCAGATTGTCCCGCAGCTTCCTGTCTGGTGTCAACGAGAGTTCACAGAGCAAACGAGGGGTCACGCTCAGTCACGGCATGGTGAGGCATACACTGGGCCAAATCTGGCCAAGATGGTTATGAAAAAGTCGTTGATACTTTACCCCAGAACATGTGTGACTCAACAGAGACGTAAGCTGATGCGTGACGGCTTTGTGGTGGACGCGAGCGAGGGGGAACGCCACATGCGTCACCTCTTCCTCTACACCGACCTCCTGCTGTGCACCAGATTCAAACATGCAACCAGAGGGTGAGCTAGGGCTGCTCGATTATGGCAAAAATCATAATCTCGATTATTTGGGTCAATAATTGATATCATGATTATTAAAAACGATTATCCATTTACTTTGAAAACATCAATTTATTGGAGAAAAAAAATGTGAACAGTATGTTTTTAACAGTTGATTACCCTGAACTTTAAGTATAAAAAGAAGTAATAATAATAATAATAAAAACAAATCGTTTTATTTCGATTACGTTGTTTTCGTAATCGTTGCAAGCCATAATCGTAATTGCGATTCAAATACGATTAATTGAGCAGGGTGAGCACAGAAAGAGAAACCGTTGGGGTCATAACGATTTGTTGGTCTTGTGTAACCATTAGCCAATCACCAACCAAGGTAACCCCCCCCTTATCACCTGAATCTCCTCCTAGAGCTCCATTGTGTTCTTTTTAACCAAATCTCTCTCAGAGGGGCGTGGGGAGGGGCTCCTTGTTTTCATCTAAAGTAACAGACAGAGAATCAGCACTTTTGAAACAGGGCTGAAACAGAGGGGATTATGGGTAATGCTGCAATGATCTGTTTGGTGTTTGGAGCCAAACACTTCAGAGACATGTTTTGTATATATCTGAGACCTATAATAAAGTAATGAAAAACAGTATAATAGGGGACCTTTAAAGAGACCATCAGCTTATAACACTGCATGTAATCTTCCAGGAAGCAGGACCAGTACAGGTTCGGCTGGTTTCTGCCCCTCGCTGGCCTCAAACTTCGCTGGGTCTCTGATCAACATCGTCCTCCAGACGCACAGCTTCGCCTACACACCATAAGAACAAAGATGCACCTCCTACGTCAGCAGCTACGACAACACGCAGTATGTTTTGACACAGAGAGAAGAGTATGGGCAGTGTTTTTAACAGCTGGTTAATTTATTTCATGTGTTTGTGTAAAGCAGGGGTCCAAGGGTTTGGCTTTTGCAGCTCGTAGCAGAAAGAAACTGGAGCAGGTGGAGCTGATGCTGCTCACACACTCCCCGGTTTACACACTGGAGCTGCACAGCCCCAGCGGCAAGGTATACACACATTATCTCTGACATCGCAGTTTTATATAATAATCATTCAAAGTACAATTTAAAAAATCTGTTTTACCTCCCGACAGAGTCACACTCTCCTCCTCTCCTCGCTGTATGAGCTTGAAGAATGGAGGGAAGCCATTCACAAACTCACTACAGACAGTAAGTCCAGTTTCTTTCACACCAATCTGCCACAAGATTTTATTTAACGTTTTTTGGGGTCTAGAGCTTACTAACAGTTGTTGGAAATCAATACATTTATTAGCAAGCAGTACTGGAGACGTGTCAACACTATGGTGGTTATTGAGAAGTACGAAGTGTTAGTTAAGGGAGAAGGTGCTGTGAGACAGTCTGCATAGGGGAGAAACACATTTGAAAAATCCTGTGGAGCCAAACACCGTTCTCTCAGGTCACACACACACACACACACACACACACACACACACACACACACACACACACACACACACACACACACACACACACACACACACACACACACACCAGTGTCATTGCATGGGTTCTTACTACATACACTAAGGAAAAATGGTGCTAAGAAACACAAGTCTGCATAGTGCATCGTCACCAAATCAGCATCAACTTAACTTTGAACAGTTTATCAAAGCATTGTTAACCAAATGTTTTTTGTTTTTGATTGTTGGATGGACAAAGCAAGCAGTTTAAAGGATTTTTCTTAAGATGGCAAAATGTGGTTTTATTACCATTTAATAAGGAAGCAAGCGTCATATAAAAAGTAGTGAAAATAAACAATAGCCTCAGTCTTAACGAAGCTAGCGTGAAAAATAGGCGTTATTCGGGTTAATGGGTTTAAAAATACTGTATGACGTAGAAAATATGTTTTATCATCCTTGCCAATGACTATTAAAGATAATGCGCAATGATAAAATACATACTTTCTTTTGTATAATTACATTTGTAATGGAAATAATAACTCTATAAACCAGTTCAAACACATTCTATCAAATGCATTAAATTGCATTCGAATGGGAACAATGAAAATGAAAGCCAAGTAATTCACATTTCAGCCTATAAATTGTGAAGTAACCAAAGCCTCACTAGCATTATTCTCCATTAGCTTGTGTGTGTGTTCAGTCAGCTGACTGGAGCCTATATTTGCTGTGTGTTCCTCAGACATAGAGACCGTCCCCCCCGACCTGCTCACCCTCACCAGTGCATGTGTGAAACTGAGAATGACGCAGCAGCCGCCACTTCACAGCACCAACGCCGGTACGACCACCATCTCTGCCCCCTCCCCCGTCCGTCCTCGTCCCCTCTCCTCAGACTCACATCCTGTATCTGAAACGCAATACACCGATTGTGAGCTTGACGCTTTTGATCTTTTAGTGCTGGCTTTCAAACCTTTTCAACACTTTCTGTATGTCTTTCTCGTCGGGACGATTAAATCCAAAGAGCTTCTGGTTATTTATGTCTTTGTCTCTCAGCAGTAGAGGGCGAGATGTGTCTGTGTGGGACTCTGAGTGTGGCCGTGCACTCTGCCTGTGGCCTGCAGCAACCAGCCTGTATGGGAATTACTATTACAATGAATCACAATGATACATATATAAATGTGCCCCCAGTTGAAGGGATTATGTCAGAAGGTGAATCAGAGGTCACTTAGTTATCGGTTCTCTTTTTCTTTTAGCGGTATACGTGTGTGTGGAAGTGGATGGATATGAGTTCTATGATAAACAAGCCACGACACACTCATCAATCCACAGCCTCAACCCACATTGGGACCAGGTGAGTTCAAAGTACAATGTTTATTCACATGAAAAAAAAACTGATATGAAATGCAGATGATTCGACCGCCAGACCAGGGTGGGATAAGACTTCTTCATGTCTAGACAGCATCTGACATGATGTCTTCGGGAGGATTTAAAAGTCGCAGTACGGTCAGACCGTGCTACGCTTTGAACATGATCAGTGGCAGTAAAATGTACACCAAATCCAACCGGTAGCCAGGATCAAAAGACTTTAAAATAAGACATGAACGCTCCTGTTGTGGCTGTAGTGTTAACACCACGTTGTGTCTGTCACACAGGAGCTGGAGTTCCAGGTGGACGCGGCTCAGGAGCTGAGGCTGCTCTGCGTGAGCCAGGCTGATGGAAAGAATGATACTGTCTTGGGAAAAACTTCTGTAAAGGTATGACGTACACTGGGCTTTGGCTTTATTATAAGGACAAATATCCTCTTGAAATCAGGCATTTAACACACAGCTCAGAAGTGCACCAAAAGCTATATCATCTCATCAATGTTTTATATGGAAAATGTGACAGAAGAATTACACCCAGACAGTTTCCGTTTGGATGTTTTGGTGTCTTTCAGCTCTTTGTTTTGGTTTTACTGCCAACATCTTTACTGTTCTAGTACACTCTCACAAGTGTTTCCAACTTTTATCAGCAACTAAACACTCAGATAAACTGACCTCTCAGCACCAAATGTAAAAGTTAAAGTTGGTACTAGCTAGGTCATTCTTAAGAGCGTTTATAAGAGCAAGATATTTCCCTTATAGGTGGTGGAGACCAAAACAGAGAGTAAATATTCCTCTTACATCGAGCAAAATCAAGACTCTGAATGTTGCTCCATAACTTCAGGATGTATTTATAGGCAATTGTTGTTTTTATTTCACACTGTATGTCCATGTTCTTCTGCCCAAAAGTGCATGAGAAAACCATCAATGCTCTCTAATGATATAACTAAATGTTGTTTTTCTTCATTTTTTATGTGGACTTTCAGTTGGAATCTAAAACCCTGAATGAGCGATGGAAGAGACAGACGCTACACCTCGGCCAGGTGGATGTGACCGTCTCCCTGAAGTTCTCCCCCCACCCTCTTGAACCCCCCAGCGCTACAGCTCCTCTACATCCTGTCTTCTGCATCCCCATTGAAATTGTTACTCAGTAAGTCCTTGAAATACAAAATGGGTTGTTGCTGAACCCGTGTGGGCTAATGTGGTTGTTTCAAAGGCTCAGCTACTTTGAAGAAGTGTGGCAGAGTGGGCTGAAGAGAAGCACAAGTGTGGCAAGAGAGGAATCTGAAATGAAGCGACGCTTACATATGAAATATCTGAAGTGGGATTTCCGTACTTATACTTTCTATTGCCTGGCAGACAGGAAGGAGTGATGGTGCCCCACGTGGTGCGCTGCTGCGCCGAGGAGGTGGAGAGGAGAGGCCTGGCGGAGGTGGGGATCTACAGGATTTCCGGATCCTCCAGTGACATCAACACGCTGAAGAGTGTCTTCAACAGCAGTAAGAATCATTCAAGTTTCAGTTTCAGTTGTCATTCAGACAGTCCTTCTGTTTTTGTAAACCTGGCACTGGTTCACACAGACCTCAGCTTCCTGCAGATTTGAAGACCATGCTAGCAGCTCTGACTCACTCACACCAGTATGCTAATATGCTAACGTTCAGTGGGTTTATTGTTTTCCATGTGAGTTTTAGCTAAATGCTAACATTTATTTAGTTCTTAGAAATCACAACTGATGCTGGTTTGAATGTCAGAAGTTTGGTGAGTTTTTTTTATCTCAAATGTAATGAAATGATAATTTAGTGATGTTGATGACGGAATGAGGATCTCTGGATAATTTGGAGCGTTTATCCTCTGGGGACCATGCACAAAATGTCACTGCATCCATTCAATAGTAATCTAGATATTTCCACTGTTAACCAAACACCTTCAATTGGCTCTACAGGAAAAGTCAGGGGATCACCCAAATTCATTTAAGGATCAACCTCTGGGGACCATGAGCATATTACAGTTGTTACAGCAGTCTTTACCAAATGACAATCATGTGGAAATGTTAAAATATCTCATGTTTGCTACACATTTCAAATCCTCCTGTAAAAAACAACTCATTCTGACCCATGCTGCCTATAACCAGCTGCTGTTTCTTAGCACTCTGACAAGACGTTTTCTCTTGAGGTCACAAAGAAGGAAGTCTATGACCTGAGAAGTTGCAGTAACATCTATAACAATCATCATGTGTCTGGCATGCTCAGATCTGCGTGACGCTGTAACCAGGCTGAGGAGGGCGGAAGTGAACGTGGTCTCTGGTGTCCTCAAACTGTACTTCAGAGAGCTGCCGGAGCCCCTCATCCCCGCCGACAAGTTTCAGAGCCTGGCCAGGTCGCTGGGTAGGAAACGTGACAAAAACATGTCTCTATTTAAACCGGTGTTTATTCTCGATTCAGTTTGAGGCGATTACATACTGCAGGTTGCCCCTTTAAGTCTGTATTCTTCAGTCGATGTGTTAAAGAGTGTGTTCCTCTATGTTCAGAGGCCTTTTGCTGTTATTCATAGACAGATAATTCATCACATAAACGGGATTCTTAAATGTTTATTTTCATATAGATTAGTAAACACTGTAATTAAATCACCTGAAATACAATCCCTCAACAAAAGAATTGGTAGAAATTAAAATGCAATATCCATGTTTTTTGTTGAAGGCTACAAGTTGTGGCTTGTAAATGTTGACTGCAACAGCTTTAAATGATTCCGGTATTATTTCATAGAGTAACTCTAACCCCGTTGTTGTTTAAACCAAATAAACTAAACTTGAAGTGCTCTGAACTTCACAGATTTCTCTGTCCTTTAGAGATCCAGGACGTAGACTCCCGGCTGGTCTCCTTGTTCTCCGTGCTGCACTCCTGTCCCGCTCCCAACCGCAACACCTTCCTGTTCGTCCTGCACCACCTCCAGAGGTCTGACAACAATCACACAGCATCAAAAGACTCCTGACTTGAATATATCTTTAATTATTTCTAACATTTTCTCTCCAGAGTCTCTGAGAGGCAAGACACCAACAAGATGACTCTGATTAACCTGGCTACGATATTCGGTCCCAGCCTCTTACGCCTCCCTGTGGCGGAACTGGGACACATCGGCTCCTCCATGGATATCTCTGTGGAGGTGGTGCTGCAGGTGGGAATGTAGCAGGAGAAGGACTGCTGAATAGAGGAGATGATTGATGTTGCGTCTAAACACAGCTCAACACATTCTCTAGCAACATATGGGCTTTGTTTTCTAAACAATTGCATTTGAGGATTTTTTGGTTCTCTGTTTGTATTAGAAAAGATACTGTCAAAAATAGTTCACAAATGAGTCATTTTATATTTATTTCATCCGTTAGTTGTAATGTTTAATTTGTAACATGACGATTTGAATGCCATTTTTGAAGCTTCTCGACAGAATAGAGTAATCATAAAGAAATGCAGAATAGTCTTTTGTTGACCAAAAATAGTCAAAATTTAATTTAATTAACCGGAAATACTGGAGTCACCTATAACTTGACATTTTCTTAATGTCTTTCATTTTTTGTAAAGCACTTTGAATTGCCCTGTGTTGAAAAGTGCTATATAAATAAACTTGCCTTGCCTATAAAATATCAACCAATTGCTAAAACTATTAGAATAGATTTATAAAGGACATGACTACAGGTTGCTACAGCTAGACTAGAACATCTAGATGAATAATTTACAAACAATAACCTATTAAAAGGAAACCCTTCAGATATAAAATAGAACATATTTATTCTGTTTCACTAGGATGTTGCCTTAAAATAAAACAACTATATGAAAAATAATAATAATTAAAGGCATTAAAGGTAAATAACGAGCTCTTCGAAAATAAATTATAATGAATGTGTAAAATAAAAAAAAATTGACTTTACTCAAAAATAGAATAGAATTTTAAACAATTGTTTATTTAGATAAAGAAGGGTTTGGGAAAAACACATTTCTTTATTTCACAAGTCCCGTGGAAAAGTATCCACGTGCATGTTGAAGAATACTTTATAAAACCTATCTGTGTGTGTGTGTGTGTGTGTGTGTGTGTGTGTGTGTGTGTGTGTGTGTGTGTGTGTGTGTGTGTGTGTGTGTGTGTGTGTGTGTGTGTGTCAGGTCCAAGTGGTTTTCTGCTACCTGCAGTGCAACAACCTCCCTGAAGCCCAGACCTCTCTGCCACATGACACAGACTCTGAAGATGAGACCACCCACATGTGAGACCACCACCAGTGTCAAATACTGCTTGTGAAGAAATATCAGCAAACTCTTAACACAATCAAATTATTTATTGATAGAAATATGCACTGTGTCTATTTTGTCAGTGTTTTAAACCTGAAGGGTGACATTTTGATTTAGTGCAGTATCATTAATCACAGATATATATACACTTCTTTTATATGCTGCATTCATTCTCACAAACCAGCTAGTAAGAGGCTTTCAATCTCTATTTTACTGATTTAGACAAAATCACATTTAATTATACAAAAATCCTATGTCAGATACATTTTGAAGATAAAAGTCCAATAATATACATTTTAAGCGTTATTATTTTCTATAAAAGTTCATTTTAAGTGAATAAATATGATTTCTAAATACCAGCATACTCGAAAAAAAACTACAAAAACAAAACAATTGGAAAAAATAAAGTCGATTTTCTTACCTTTATTTTGAGGATTTTACCGGTCAAATGTAGAATTGGCCAGGATAAAAGAAATAATTCATATTAAGTAAAAAAAACGTGGTAATGAATCCCAATATGTCTTCTGTGTTACTGTGGTGTAACTTTCATTATACGGCAGATTGACTAGGTGGCACGGGGAGTAACGTGAAGTTAAAATGTGGTGGAGGAAAAGTCAGGGATGCAGATGTTGTAAAAAAGGGTCAGGGGTCACCTCCCCGAGCCTGAAAACCAATCGGTTACGGTTCAAATCCAACTAGACGGAGTTCACCACGAAGTGCACGGCCCATAAAAGTCACTCACACACACACACACACACTGTGCTGGAAGCCAACACACACATGTTCACGGCCCATGTTCGACCCATCCACACCACAGATGGGGCGTCTCTTTTCAACCGCACCACCTGGGCAGGCCGGGCTTGTGTTACCCCTCAACCTTTTACCCCCCCTCGCTCTTTTGATCACTAATCCTGCAGCCCGACTCCGGCTCTCCAGCACTAATAGACTCTGCCTGGACGCCATAACAACATCCAGAACAAACCGAAAGAAAATGGTGGCTCACCCTTGCTGCCCTCAGAGTCATAAATCACCTGTCCCCTCTAACACGCTGGCTGCCAAAATAAAGTTCCGCCCAGCGACTACAAAGACAAAATGAGGTTCAGGCTACAGACTACAAAGCCCAGGAAGGCCTGAGACGTCCCAGACGTTTGTGACCAACGACGGGACCAGACGACTGGTCCACACCTGGGGCTGCTGGGAACATTTTTACAGGACACATCAGTTTCTGGACAGCACTTGTTCCATTCAGTCACACACACTGACTGTCTCGTCTACAGAGATTATGCAGCCATGTTATTTATGTGGAAATTCTTTGAAACATATGGTGGTAGAGTCATTTGTATACACGTATTTTGGAGATAGACCTAAACAGACCAACATTAAACCTAGATTTCTTTAGGTTTAAGTTCAGGTGAACCCAAAATTATTCTTTTTTAGAAACTGGGATTGTTTTTCAGCCGACCATGTGCCTTTTTTGAATCTCTTTCCTCAGCTAACAAGACATTTGTGAACTTTTAAATGCCATTAAAGAAACTCACAGGCCTTCAACAATGTTTAATTTTATCCTGAATAATGACACTTTTCAGCATCTATTTTACTTACACTTTTGACCTGTGTTTATCATGGCTCTTACTTGTCCAAATGCTACCTAAATGGTTTGGAATTTAGTTGAGATAAAGCACAAGTAAATCCTATACCATATTGAGTTTTATATGTGTGTTCTTTAAATGATATTTCTATGAATTTTTACCCTGTAAAGTGTCTTTGAGTATCTTGAAAAGCGCTCTATAAATAACATGTGTACAGTATATCATACTGGCCCTCCTCAGGTGGAGCTAACTGTACTGTAGGTAGGTTTTTTTTCATTATCAATCAATAATTACAGTCTTTTCACAGTTTGTACACACAAGCTGATCAGAGTTCCCAATGAATGATTGTTTGGGATGTATATTATCTACATTTAAACTGTTTGTAGATGCAAAAACAGCAATCATTTGTGCAAAATGTCGAACCGCTGGTGTGCACATGCTTGTACTGCAGCATGTATACCGTATGTGTGTGTGATGGTGTCGCTGCCCGGAGCTGTGCCATGCTTGATTAGCACTAATCTAGCTGGGAGTCGGGTTGCTGTGTCGTCGGCGTGTCTGTATGGAAGGCATGCATGCTGCGGATCACAGGGATTGACCCTCTGCCTCTCAGGTTAACAGAAGCCCTATGTGTGTGTGCGTGTGTGTGAGTCTCGTGAAAAACGGTGTGACGGTGAAACCGGCTGAACTTGGACTTGAGATCTCGGATGAGAAACTTTGAATTGTGTATGAAGAAAGAGTTTTGAATTTAGCAGTGTGTGTGTGTGTGTGTGTGTGTGTGTGTGTGTGTGTGTGTGTGTGTGTGTGTGTGTGTGTGTGTGTGTGTGTGTGTGTGTGTAAAAGAAAAGGAAATGAAAGGATACAAATACAACTGTGTGTTTGCGAGAGGGCTAGTTGAACTTTGGCTCTGGCTGCAGTGCGGGAGGAGTCACCTCTCGTAAAACCTACCCTCAGCAGGTTGTAAACATAATACCACACACTCATAAGAGAAGAACAAGATCAAGATCCCCCTTTTCAATGTGGCCCCCAACACAGTAAGCCCTGGCTTCTTTGTCCACAGTGTCTTGGAAAAGTGTGTATTGCGCTTCGCAGCAGAACACGCCGCAAGCTTAAGTTGTCTGTTAGTGTCTGTGTAAGTGTGTGTGTTTGGGGAGTTTCAGGATCAAACCCTCATGTCGACAGAGGCTGAGGAGACGACCGCTGACAGGTGCTTCCTGCAGCAACGCAGCAGGTGCTTCGTACACACTCACACACACAAACACACACTCCAAGGGCCTCCAAGACATGATTGTGCATGTACTGACACACACACTCTGTCAGTCCCTACCCCCCATTACTCCCTCCAACACACCTAGTTTGTATATAAGTGCGGATGTGAGCTGTAACACTGCAGTGTACCGTAAATGATGAGATGACTGTTACAGCTACTGCGTCGTACTGTTATCATGCTTTTTTATTTGGATATCTTTGTCACGGCTGTTAAAGTAAATAAAATAAATTCTCTCAATTATTTGAATGTTTAGGAGTTTGCATCGTTGACACGGAGTGCTGCTGTAGGCTAACCCAGAAGTTAGCATAACTTTCCCTTGAAAAAAGCAAGATATTTTCCTTGGATTTGGGATTTTCGCAGCAAGTTTACTCTTTCACACACACATACGGGTTTTGGGCCGAGGGCGACACCGTACTTCCGGTATCAACCATTTCACGCTAGGTGCATACAGAATATCATAGTCGATTGCCTTAATCAATATAGTCAACTCTAAAATATCACATATATGCATTGGCATGATAATATTATTGTGACAAGTGGGGTATTCACCTGGTGTTTCCAGAAGATAGACATAGATGCCAAAATCGACCGAAGGCCACTTTTGAGGGTCGTAATTCCATACATTGTACATCCAACAACTCACACAGCTCTAGTTTACGCTGGTAACGACCTAGAGCACACTCCTCAAGTCCAGAGATGTAATCCGAAGACATGCAGCGATTTCTTTGGTCGTTAATTCAGAAAAAAAACCTAGTGCGCTCTGCCTGGGTACATAAGCTAGCTGTTTATATTAGCATCGCCAGGATTTTTGCACCTCCAGAAAAATGGCGTCTTTATAAAAAAATATATGGCGCGCGTTGCATTGTGGGTAGCTGTGACGTCACTGTGTGTGAAAGAATGTAAATCAAATGTAGCCAGATTTCCCTTTAAATCAGCTTAATGTAAAGTAAAGTGATTAGCTTATCTGAGAGAACCAAAACAATTAGCTTAAAGACGCTAACAAACGTTGTAAAGCTAAATGGACCACAGGTCAAACTATGTGTTAATATTGGAGGATTTCCCTAGTGATTTACTTGCAAAACTAGCTTTTACTTATTTCGGGGGCACTGATTGAACACAATTACATAATCACAATAATATTCATAAAACAATTGTTTTTCTGTTTAGTTTCTAGGGACTCCCTTGGTTTATGTTGGCCCCAAGAAGCTGCTGAAAGAACATGGTGAAGTTGTTTGGACCTCATGGGTATAAAAAGTAAACACATTCAGTGAGTGTTCAGTCCTAAGCATTCATCAGTCAGCGAGTCTATTTTTCACTTTGTATTTTCATTCACAGCTTCAACACGGTGGAACAGCCAATCGCTGACACCGCTGTTACCAAAACAACATCTGTCTTAATATACCCTCAACACCACCACCACCATTCCCCCTGGGCTATGACGCCATATCTCCCAAATGGCAACAGAAGTCATGACGACAGGTTGGTCTGATGCTTTTTAGATTCATATCTGGGCTCCTCAAAGCCTATCTGAGGATTCCTACATGGTAAGAAAATAAGGCTGAAGTTTGTTTGGTCTCTTTGTCAGCTGTCCAATTAGGGGCAGATTGTAGATAGTGTCACATTTCTCAAATAATGTATAGTGTGAATTAAAGGTACAGTGTGTGTGTGTGTGTGTGTGTGTGTGTGTGTGTGTGTGTGTGTGTGCGACTACTAACACACACATGACGAAGGAAAAACCTAAAAAATACAAACCAATATTCAAAATTAGTTTGGAGATATTACAAAGCTATTTCAGTTCAATTTTATATTTGTAATGCTTCTTCTGTTGTATGACTTATATCAACAAATTCAATGAAATGCTATATAAAAAACATGGCCACTTTTCTTCATTTATTATTTTATTTGAAAAAGAAAACATCACAGTAATGAATCAGCATTGACTGCATTTGTCACTTTTATTTTTATTTATTTAATTTATTTATTCAGTTATCTCTTATTTGTGTTTGTGCTACACGATACATAAATATGATTAAAACAATCTTTTAAAAAAAATCTTTATTAGACGAAAACAGCCCTCTATTACAGTCGGAAAAATGTGTCCGTCTTTCATTTTCAATAATAACTTTTGTATAAAATATGAACATTCTTACAATATATATTTCACATGGCACAAGTTGTGTGTATTTTGATCATCAGTGAGCGATTTGGTTGAAAGTTGGCAAATACCCTCCAATAAAACCCACATACAGATAGCCACTGTACATGAGGAAACGTGTGTTTCTTCACAGCTTTGGATATTAATTTGAATGTCATATTACAGCTGTTATTGTGTGTGTGTGTGTGTGTGTGTGTGTGTGTGTGTGTGTGTGTGTGTGTGTGGTGTGTGTGTGTGTGTGTGTGTGTGTGTGTGTGTGTGTGTGTGTGTGTGTGTGTGTGTGTGTGTGTGTGTGTGTGTGGGAGGGGGTGTGGGTGGGTGGGTGTGTGTGTGGGTGTGCGTGTGCATGTGTGTGTGAAGGGGAGTTTGTCCAGGCTGAGGAAGCAAAAGTCATGCCTCCTGAAACTTTCTGTAAAAATATAAAACTCTGAAGCCGTGCATTTCTTGTTTTTATGTCTCTCTGTGAACAGGACCTTGAGTGGAGCAAACCAGAGCAGGGGTAGGCGATGGGGTCTCCTCTGTGGGTTTCACCTGTGTGTGGGACTGTGTGTGTGGCACCACTGATGTTTGAGTGTCCTCTATGTGTGTGTCCACGTGTGTGTCCTCGCTTTGTTTCTCAGTCAGCAGGTGAGGGGGGATGTACCCAGACTGGGGGTTTGTTCGCTCCCTGTGATGGTGGTGCTCGTGGGGGGATTTTGGCGGGCAGCGGCCCCTCTTGTCCTGCCCCCGAAAGCCCCTGAGTTTGGGGCTCCAGTGTTCCCGCCACTGGAGGGCCAGAGTGGAGCGGTCCGCCACCAGGCGACTCTCCTCCGGGCCCAAGCCCCGCTCCCCCTCCTCCGCACCGATCAGCAGGAAGGTCCGGCCCACGTGGAGGGAGGGGCAGCCGCAGCCCAGGTCTCGGTCGGGGACCCAGAGGGACTGCTGGCCCTTTCGGATGCGGGATTTGGACCCTGCCCGGAAGACGGTTTGGACCGAGATGGAGAACTGCCACCAGGGACCTGAACGCTCCATCCCTCGCACCTGCACCTTCAGCACTGAGAAAGACAGAAATGCAATTTATACTTTAAAAAAAAGTATAATTTTTCTTTTTTAATCTTTTGTTTTTAGTCTTTTACTTTTAATATTATTGTGGTGGGTTGTGACCCAAATGTGGTTTCACTCATGAGATTTACAGTGGGTTAAAAAAAGGAAGCAAAGTGAAGAAGGAAAAACAGTGTGAGTACATTATTGTTCATTTTTGACACGTTAACAAATAAAAAAACATGACACCAACCGAAGTCCTTCAGACAATAGGTCTCCAAGTTCATCCTGACTTTGACCTGAGAAGGCTGGCAGTATGAAACACACTCCTCCGCTACAACAGAGACGGGGGGAGAGAGGGAGAATGCATCAAATGAAAGGGTATCATTTCATAGCAAGCATATCAGCACATGTCTTTTCCCCCTAATTACAATATGGCTGCTTCTATTTGTCATCACAGTATCCTGTGACTAACAGATGACCCCCACTGCAGCAGGTGGGACATTCCTCAAGCCGCCGCTAGGAGGGAGTGGTAAGCTGCTGCATAAAGACTTAGAGCGGGGGGGGATTTGTTTTGATGTATGAAAAATGTGTATGCTGTACATGAGGTGACATTAACTTTGTTAAAAAGAAAGATCGGACATTGAATACATTTGTTATTATGACAGTGGAAGGTGAAACATTTATTCTAGCACCTTTTAAAGTAGTTGTTCCAAGGTGATTCACAAAAAAATGAAAATAGGAGATAAAAGCATAGATGTAAAATAACCCAAAGCATGACTAAAATAATAATAATAAAAAATTGACAGTCAGAATACAACACCAAATACAACCAGAGGACTATGTAATTTCAGCCTGTAGATCTGCTCACCTATGCTGTACTGAGGTTGAAACACTGGTGTCGGAGCGACTTCTTGAATTCCTGCAAACATAAGCAAAGCTTCAGACAGGTGACAGGAAAAGATACACAGAGAAGCTTCAGCATTCCCACATGAGCTGTCAGGTTGTTGCAGAGCGAGTGTGTGTAATGTGTGCTATGCTTGAATGCCTCTCGGTACGTGGGGCATGTCTGCACAGAAGATAAGCAAGTGTCAAAAACGTGTGTGTGTGGTCCTTTTACGGCCAAGGAGAACACACTTAAACACAGCCACAAACTTTACTTTATGTATTTTAATAAGGTCAAGCCATCACTTTTTGCATGGTTTTGTCTCAAACGTTAAACAGAGTGTGGCTTTGACTGTGTTTGACGCTGAACTGGACCGTGTATTGTCCAGGCCTCTTGTAAAAGCTCACACTTCGTTCCCCCGTCCACGTCCTGTCCTCTCTGACACAACTGGGACAGTGACACCCTACACCCCCACTTTTAAAAGACAGGAAGCTGCTGTGTGTTTGTATGTCTAAGTACAGGCCTACAGTATGTGAAGGGTCATTATTAGGTAGCAGAATACATGTGTGAGCAGCGCGGTTTGAATTGTTCAAGATCTTTACGGTACTAATTATTGCCTTAAAAATACAGTATAAAAATGTAAAAATTATGATACATCTAGGAAATATCTGTATACAAGACAAGACCAAATGTGAAAACTGCACTCAGACGTAATCATCAGAGAAAAATTCAGTGTTTTTTTAAATGTGTTAGTACAGCTTAAATATTACCCATGGTAATTACTTTGATTCATCAAATAAATGTCATTTTGAGTGATAGGAATTAAATATTTGTTTTGCTATCTATTTCAGCTTGCCTGGAATGCTAAACTAACATTAGCTAGCTAACATTATGTTTAGTAAATTTACCTGGGGTTTACTTCCTTCATTGTTTTATACAGATAAAGCTCCATTAATGTTTTTATGTAAAATTAATTGCTGAATTATCAAGATCAAAATTGTAAGTAAAAAGCACATTTTGTTTTAGCTTCAGGTAAAGCTAGCAATGGCTATCCCACCAGCTAGCTTTACCTTCAAGCCAGCCGGCTAGTTTGCCTTTCTTTTTTCTTCATCTTGATCATATATATTATTCTGTAAGCTTCTTAAGTATGGATAAAGATGTTAGTAGCAGCTTAATTTATTGAAGCTTTTTGTTCTTACTTTAGACATGCCTCCTTTCCTTTATAGTGCCTTACTTATACCCCTCATGACAGGTTCAGTGTTGGGCTTTGCCATATTGGAAAATCTGACATTGTGATATCTATTCATATTGCAACTTGGGGAAAAAAATACAATAACAGATTTTGTGCTCAATTCATTTGTACTTATTGGTTGAAGTGATATCAATGATGTTGACTGCAGCCAATTCAGACCCACATAGTACGGTAAATGAAATGCTCTCATGGAAAGCAAGCATTTCTCTTGTATCAAGCAGCAAAAAAGTTGTTGCAAAACGTGTTAATTTGCCAAGATTGGTCATATCGCAATAATGTCCATGCTGCCACAATGTGCAGACTTGGTTCAGCGGGGGCTAACTTTACAGTTTGGCCTGTTGGTTGCGTGCCTTTTGGTCTGTCTGATGAGAGGTGGTGGTAGGGGGTAAGGGATGCTATACATAGCCTGAGATGGTCTGGCAGTAAAAACAAACAAGGTTTTCTTTCACACACTCCTTTCACTGGGAGAGTTATGAGTCTGGGCCCTGTGATGGGGGGCTTTTTGAGTTGCACAACAGGTGTGAAGCTCGCCCTGCTGGCTTCCTATGTCACCTGATTGGGGCTTACACACCGCAGTGCCTGTGTAGTTGTCGGCACTCGCGCGATTAGCCAGGGAAGTACACGTGGATTAGCGCTCATGGCTGAAGTTCGATGCTAGCCAGGCACAGAGATATGAAACAATCCACTTGATCTGACACTGATCCCACATCAGCTGGAGATGAGGTTTCCCTGTAGCGGTCAGCTCAAGTTAACGCTGCTATAGAGACCGTCTCTAGGGATGATGACAAGGGGACACGCTGGGGGAATGGGCCAAATTAGTCTGGACAGCAGCGGCCCCTTTTATATTGAGCTACCACTCGATAAAGGTTTAGAGAGATTGATAGGAGGTTTAATCCATTTAGGCCACAAGCAAATGAGTTTGAAGGAGAAATTAAAGAGGTCACTTAATTATGAGTGACATCAAGCTATTAAAAGTCTGTGATTCATTTGAGCAGGGTGCCATGCATCATTGGCAGAGACAACATTGTTTGTAGAGAAGTTAAGACTCAAAATCCATATATAATAAAAGTACTCGGTATTCCTATGACGATATGATTGCTGTTGTGCCCCACAATTCGGGGGCCCTCTTCTCCAAAAGCTTTTGGTGCTTCACAGAGACAACTACCATATGATTGTCATATATTATTACTGATAGGTGACTTACGTATGCAGGGCCGCAGAGGGGACTTGCCCTGTTTGTATCCCGGAGCACAGCGGTTACACCGGGGGCCGGTCACCCCTTCTCGACACAGACATTGACCTGATGTCTGGTTACACCATCGACCCACTGCTCCCAAAGGATGGCACTCACATGCTGAAAGGCAGAACAAGGTGATTAGAGAATTACAAAAATAGGAAGTAAAGTAAAAATGTATTCTGAAGGTGGATACAACACCAATTGTTAGGGTTTTTTTGGCCACTTTGGCACAGCAAAACATACAAAAAATGGAGGTGACATGTTATCAAAAGTAAGTTTCATCAAGCATTAACAGACATGCAGCAATATAAGCATTTGTTGACTCGTTCTCACAGCTGCAAATCAATATTTACTTTCTTAAAGATGGGTTTGTCACTACGAGGAATGCCTCTCACATTTTGCCGTGTGATTCGAGCCGTTTTTGACATTTTTCAATATTGTTTAGTGCAGATTTTTAGAAGTGTTTTTGTGGTTGCTTCAGATACCAAGTAAAGGCTTTCAGAGGCCAATCGTAAAGGAATGAAATTGCACTGGGGAGTTTCCACATGCGAATATGTTTCATTTGTAGACATTTGAAGTAGGCAAGGATATAAGCAAGCTTTTTGGTTAGGTTGCCCTGGCATTGTAGAGCATTGTGTATCAGGTTGCAACAACAAGGAAGCAAGTTAAAGATATATTAAGCTAACACATCTGTAACTGTTGCACAAAGGACAGTAAACAGGATTAAGAAGACCATCCATCAGTGATAGGACCTGAGTTTAATCCTGCTTGACAGCATCTGTCCTAAGGGAATGTCCTTGAGCAAAGACCTTAACTAACACCATACAGGCTATTTTGTAGCTTTCTTGTTGGGTAAACACATGCTAATTCCTCCATAGAGCTTTCATCATGGATGTCACACAACGGCATGATTTGTTTGGTTTTGCTTATTTGTCTTCATTTGTCAGATAAAGAAAAATAGGGGTTCTAGAATGAATTCCATTATTATCCCTGGTTATTTTAGCATATAGATGAATACCAATATCCTTTGTCTTAATATTTTGTCAGATTTGTGTCTCCTAATGTTGGCTTATGTGATGCTGTTTAATGATTTCTGCCTCGATTTGCCGTGGTTCACAATGCAAAGCTTTTTATTTACCACCACTATCATGGGATAAGGCCCAATGAGACAAGACAGATGAGAGAGAGGAAGCCACACTTCAGCAGATCTGTTCACGCTCTGGTAATATTTACACAAATCCTTACAATGAGTCCAAACAACCTGACTGGGGGAAATGAGTAATAGGCCCCTGAAGGGTAACTCGGTGAAACATATCTTCGATAACTTAAAGCTGAGATGTAAGCCTGTGAGTGGGAGGATATCAATTTGCTATTGTTTCATGCATACAAAGTGCTAGAATATGTTGATATTCAATCATAGCTCCTATTTTTCTTCGTCCCTGTTCGTGTGTCAAGCTCAAAGAGAGCCCATTAACTTTGGATATATTGGGCTTGTGGTCAATGCAGCATGCCAGAGTGTCACAGTCACTTAGGACATGTGACCAGTCAAAGGTCAGGGGTCACAGCAGATGCCAACCAGTGGTAACGATGGGGATACAGGTGGCAGCTCAGCGGGGTTTGTGTGTTTTTTTCGTGCGTATCGCTAACAGGAATAGCTGCAGGCTCTCATAATGTAACCACCCCATAAACACTTCTGTACGCTCGGACACAGACAGTGTGCATGTAATTTAAACACACACACTCACACACACACACACACACACACACACACACACACACACAGCTACATGCATTCAGACAGTCGGACATAAACACTGTCGCTCACACTGCGATTTCCTTTGCATCTACCAGGAATGCAGTTAGTAATTTAAGTTATTCACCCCATGGATATGCACAGATGCACAAACAAGAATACACTCCCTTCTTCCCATTAAGCCAGTAAACACACACTCACACACACTTGGTGACTTACGTTGGCAGGCCTTGCGGTGGTTCATTGGTACGCTCTGGTCGTGGGTGTATCCATTCTGGCAGTATTGGCAGTGTCGTCCGGCCGTGTGGTGCCGACACTTCTGACACACACCTCCACTGTGCCGGCCCGACTGCTGAAACACCTCCATGCTGAAGCGGCACTTGGTTGAGTGGCCGTTACACTCACAGGCTGGAAAAGGAAGGAAATCACAAGGTATCACATCCACTGTTTGGAGTGATAACTTTTAAGTTCAAGGGTTTTAAAACAGAAAATAAATGCAAGCATAATCAGAATTCAATCATATTTGTCATGAGGAGTACTATAACCCCAATGATGTCATCTAACCTTGAATTGAGAGAGGGCTCATATAAAACAGAGAGCTTGCGTTACAAATTGTCAGAGTTGAGATTGACCGACATGAGTGTTTAACTCTAAGTGAGGGTCCACCTGAAGACACTATCCAGTTGAATTATGGGAAATGTGAGATCTGTTATGATTTTTTGAATGTTTTTTGAATATGTTTTTGTTCTACCTTTTAAGTATTTGGGAAAAGGAAAAAAATAAGAAGTATAACCTACATGTCACACTTACATATTTACATCATATTTATACTATACTTTTTGGTTGTTTTTCTTGTAGCCTTGGTTATGTTTCAGATGTTTATTTGTCAGAATTAATAGTTTTCATCATTTTTCATAGTTTGGCAACAGGATGCAGGACTCACCAACGCAGGGGTTTGGGTGCGTGGGTGTAGCTCGATGCCACGGTCGGTCGCAGTAGAAATCCTCACACACATCACAGTCGGGTCCTGCTGTGTGATGCTCGCACACACACACTGCTTTTCCGGTGTCGTCGCGGCGACACTTGGAAGCGTGTCCGTTGCATTTACACCTGCCGCCAACTTGCAGGTCCGAAAGCGCCAAAGGAGGTCGGAGAGCAGAGGGTGGGGCCAACTGCAGATTCCTGGAGCCTTGTTTTGCGTTGAGGTTATTGTTCCTCCTCTTCCTCAGTTCCCTCCCCCTGTTGTTCCTGCTCCGCCCCTCAACTGTCCAAGTACAACCTCCATTGGGGCAAGGTGGCCAAGGATTGTTTTCCTTCTTGCGGCCACGCCCTCTGGCTTTCCCGCCTTTCTTTGAAGAAGTGAGCGTGTCCGTGCTGAAACTATCCTCACCTTCTTTGCTGGTCACATTGTGTCCATCTTCGTCTTGCCCTGATTCTTTATAATGACCCCTCCTTGGGTGTTTGTCCACTTTCTCCTCTTTGTTCCTCCCTCTTATATCTCTGTCGAAAATTCCCAGTGTATTGTCTGTGCTTAACTTGTCCACCTGATCTCCAGTGCGCCCCTTGTAGCCCGGTCTCCACCTCAGAAGCCCAGTCCCTCTGTCATCTTCTACACTATCCCGCCATCGTACTTCCCCTTTCTTATCAGAGTTGACTATCTTGGGTGCTTTGGACACCTGGTGGAAGACTACTCGGATGTCTGTGGCCGTCACCCAGTCCTGGAGGGTGTGGCTGTAGTCAAAGTCAGAAGAAGATGGCCGTCCGTCCAGGGTGGAGAAGGCTAACACCATGCCACCCCGCTGCTTTTGTAAAGGACGAGGGTCTGAGCAGAGGGGCTCCGTCTCTTGCTGCCTCGTCTGGGCCACTGTCTGGGAGGGCAACCCAAAGTTCCCAAGGCAGTCGTTGGAGTAGTGCTGCATCGGCCTCCAGGAGCGCCCGTGGTCCATGGACTTCAGGATCGAGATAGAGATTGGGTCCGATGGCTCCCCGTGTTGGCAAAACTGCAAACTTATGTAGGTAATATCAAAGCGGCGGCCCAGAGGTAGCGTGATGGCCCATTCTCCGGTGTCAGGTCCTCCGCGAGCCATCCAGCAGGTGAGGTTGTGGGGGTTGTGGAGGTCCGTTAAGCTGGAGATGTTGCTGTCATGGTCATGTGCTTGTAGCGAGTGGCTAGCATCGGCGGGGATTCCATAGGCGGCGTTGATGAACTCAGACAGGCAGTGTCGCGGTCGACCGTCAAGGTAGTAGCAGGGGTCATGAGGCGAGGTCCAGCTCAACGGGGTGTGGGAAAGGGAAGAGGAGACGAGGGACGAAGGAAGGAAAAGAAGGAGCAGAAGGAAAACAGGGAAGAAAGGAGTGGAAGTGGAAGGGGGAGGGGAAAAGGACAGGAACATCATGTCATCGAGCCTGTGGAAGATTTAAAAAATATATATTTTAGAAGGAACCCATGGGAGCTAGATCATAAAACAAAAAAATGCACACTGATTGATTTATATAAATTGCTTTAAATCCAAAGAGGGAAATTTAAGATAGACCACCTGTGCCTTTATTGAAAACACACGATACCAGCTCACTGCACCACTTCAACGGCACCTTATAGGCTTTCGGTAGATGCCAGTAAAGACCTCATCCCATAAAAATGTAATCTCTCATCTTCACAGTAGTGTGGGCCACTGGTTTGAACCCGTGACCATGACAACTTTTAAGAACATATTTGTCTTTAAACTCCCCTCAACCCCGGAGAAGAGTGGTTGAAGAAGGACGCACACCCAGCGGGTCTGTCTGAAATGACAAAAAACATGCCCGACAGCTGGGGCTAAACCCTGAGCTGGACCACATCCATCACGTTTATGGCTCTCCTTTTCAAATCATTTTACCGTCGGTCAGGGCTGCAGGCGAGCAAGGGGCCTGAGCACGAGCTGTGTGAAGGGTAGAAAAGAGGGAAGAAGAGGAGCTGGAGATTAGTCTTGAGGATGGTAAGAAATGATTTATAGATTTGAAATGTGTGTTCGGCTTAAGCCCCTACATGGATACTTCCGTGGTTAAGACAAACACAGACTTGTATACGTCCAATCCTAGAACAAATCCCTTCCCGTCTCTTACAACTGGTGATGAGTGTAATTTATTGCTCTGTCAAGATTTGATACCCTAGAGCGTTAATTTTGGCATGACAAAACGAACAATGCATTAGCTTTCCCTGGAACAAGTGATTCATTGTTTTTACTGCTCACATGAAGCCCTGAGGCACATTCCCAACAAGGGCTTCTTCTATTTGTTTCTTGCAAAGACAGTTCAACACCTGCTGCTTTTTACTCATTTGATAACCCTTGTTTATTTTCTCTCTTGAGAGGACTGTCATTTTCTCATCGATAACTAGGGTTAGGGTTAGGGTTCCAAACTATTTTACTTCTGCTCTTACGTCTTCCTGTCAATTTATCACCTGGCCCCTTCATTCTGCTCTGGGAATATTCTTAACTGCCGTGAGATTGATGATGTCCTAACAAGCGTTTGACACTGACAGCAAAGTCAGCAGGGCTGCATAAACCAAACCCGTAGAAGAGGACGGGGCTGAGAGCCTCTCCGGCCTCGTCATCCCGCTCAATTAGCCAACGACCGAAATATGAGGCTTCCCTCAGGGACCACACAGCTCTGAGGGGCCTGCGAGGAGGCCGTGGCACTCCCTCAGCTGCTTTGGACAAACTCCTCCGCTCCTGACCTCCCGAAGCAAAGACTTGCTAGAAAGTCGATCTGCCAAACCCAGTGAGGACAAAAGCCAAGATCAGGCATATCGAGCGACCCTTTTTTGTGGTGTTGCTACAGGAAACGCTACAAGCTACGAGCGCCGTGATGAGCTGTCTGACTGTGACCTTGGTGCCAACGAGCCACATTCCTGGGGTCCGAAATGCCTCGGCCGGTCATTCCTGACGTGTCAAGACATGCCCCATGGGAACCTGAACGCACTGATAAAAAGCAGGACTTAGGGATCAGTTGATCTGATGATTAATTAGCTCTCTGGTTTCACTTAGTGTCAATGCTTTGGCTGTATACTAAGACAAGACAGTGTCAAAGATTATGAGCAGGGTATAGGTTATGAGAGGATTCTGGGACGTGGTGGAAGGATTCGCTCTGGATGAGGAATGATGACAGGGCGTAGGCGGGGTTCAGGGTTTGGACGTGTAGAAAGGGGGTGGTTGTTTAACATTCCCATGACATGCACTTGCTCTTGTCTTTGCCACATTACATGACTAATTAAACATAGGCCCATTACAACCACTTTGATAAATGGATGTTCATCCCAGAGAGGCCCCTGAGGTTATTAATTCGCCCCTCCAGGCTAGGACTTTCTCTTCTGCCGTAACTAGATCATCTGTCTGGAACCGCACTGTAACCCACCGGATATGGTTTCAACGGTTTTTTCTCTGCCGCTTTCAATAAATTCACACGGCCAGGGTGTCGGAAGAACATGTTGAAGACCTGCTTTATTACTTGTGAAGAGCTGTTTGATATTTCCCACCTATTCTTTCGCATATTGACTACAAATAGCACGTGTTTGAAAGAGGCCATCAACCCCTTTTTCTTTTCTCAAGAACTCAAATTGAGGTCTAATTTACAAAACAAATATGCTTCCATTTGAAAATAACATTATGTTTTGAAATGACTTGGCAGCAATCTCTATGTTTTTAAAAAGCTTAAACAGCCAAAATAGTGGTAAGATGAGATCAACATCTCCGGCGGGTGATCTTTAGAAGCAGCTATGCTTGGCTGGCAAGGGGCTGGAAAAATACTTGCTGACAACCTGAGGGCATGTTTACAGCATAGTCGAACAGAGGAGAGCTGAGAGAGCGGCGCTCATGTTCGTGCTCTCCAGTCCCCATTTCCTAATACCACTCTATTTCTATTCTTTATGAAGCTGAGATAAATGTCAGGAGGAGAAACTCATCTTTTATGGATTGGTAAAGGCTGAAATCAAAATAAATGTATGCATATAAAGTGGCCATAAATATTCAACCTATTGGAAGTTGACATGATTTATTGAATTACAGCTTGGATCAAATGTGATTTTATGGAGCTTTTTTGACACAGATTTGTTTGTGGATATCAAAGTGAAACCATACCGTAGCAAAGTGATCTAGATTAATTGCAGATATAAAATACTTGTTGGAGTCGATACTATACTACTTGTACTATATTTTTATGGTGGGGTTGTTGGATGGAAATTTGATTCCCATGAGAACTAGAAGGGCAATCGGAGAGCATATAATTCCACCAAGGCCGTTTCCTTCGGAGAAAAATGGAGCGTGTATCCACCCCGCTTCAACATTTGATGGGTTCTTTCTTGACCGATGCTACAACCTTCCACAAAGTTTCATAAAAAAAATCTGGCCAGTAGTTTTTCCCTTATCTTTCTGCCGACAAACAAACCAACAGAAAACGTTCTCTAACGTCCTGGTTGGAGATAAGAATGAACGGAAATTGGAGAAAGATTTTTATTTGGCTGTGTGTGTCTGTGTTACCCTATGGTCTTCAACTTGGGGTTAATTGATAATTGCTGTTGTTATGGGATACGTCTTTTTCTAATTGGAACATCAGAAAAGAGAAAATATAGACTTATTTTCTGTGTTTGGACTACATTTTCACTTTCTCAATCCTTTTCATCTTTTGGGATTTAGCTAAATTATGAAAATAGAGCGAGGAAACCTGTTGTGTGTGTGGTATTCTCTCGTGCTACCTGTTAACTCTTTGGCCTGTTCACACTTTGAAGCTGTGGGCCTGTCTGGGTCTGGAGCTGCTCTGTTGCGCAGATGAGCTGCATTTGGCCTGTCTCACACAATTTAACATTCCTCGTCATGGGCAAGCAGCACTGGCCAGCAGGACGGAGGCAAATATGTTCAATTCAAATCGCTTTCCTGCTCTGTGGTGAGTTTCAAACGCCTAATTGTGGTTTCCACAAATAAACACAGAGACAGTTTCATCTGACTGATGGAGTCACCAGGAAGATTACCCAGGGTTCTTCATTGGATCTCTGCTCTAAGACACACATCCTTTAAATAAATATGATCAATTATATAAGCCCTCTCTATAGCCTACATGTTTGAAGCTGAACCGAGGCACCTGTCGGGGCATGTTACCAAACTGACACCTTTGTTAATTTGCAATTGTCCTCAGCCGGTCAGAAATACAACACTGGGCTTTCGGGGTGAGAAGAGAAAGGCTACGTATGCGGTCTGTATTCTCAAACCGCATTCCTGCCTGCACAGTTGAAGCCCATCTGTGTGTTATTCCACACGGAGCGGATTCCACGAGTTCTGTTTTAGGTGTAATAATCTAATTTTAGTGGGGCAGCCCAGGAGGTGAAAGCGACAGACAGCACAAAATGGATTATCACTGCTTGTATCTTTAGCTAAAGGCCTCTGTCCTTCACGTTTGCACCTCCAACGAAACACCCAGTGGATGTGCGAGGCCCCCAGGAGCCAACTCCACACACACATACTCTGTGTGTCTCTACCTCTTCATCGACCCATAAGCCACTGCTCACTTCATTTTTGAATAAAAAAACACATGTTACCCACTTGATATTTAAAAGTTTCCTGTCAATCCTCCCCCTCCCCTTTACGGCCTCATACAAGTTGGCAAGATGCTCTCAGGCAGATCTAGCTTCACATGTTGATATTGAAAAACAGATGGAAATGAAATCACTGTGATTTCATGTTGCAGTCACGCCAAAGACAACCCCGGGCATGATAGAAATAAAAGTAAGGCCCCTGGCTGTAATTGTGTGGCAATTAAATCTACTAAATGTCATACAGGGGGTTAATAAAGAGAAAAAAGGAAACACCAAAATACTCCAGGGCTGCCCCCTTTATGAGCACAAAAACAAATAAAAAGCACCCATGATTTTTGTTGGCTAATTTATCATTGAAACATTAGAAAAAGGAAATGCCTGCTTTGAATTAAATGTTAAATTATAACCACCCAGGCCCAACTATAAAACTGCATTAGAAAAAAAAAGAGATTAAAAAAGGAGAACGGGGTCTATTAAAGCAAATATATTGCCCTTGATACCAGTGATGCAGAGGGATTTTAGGAAAGTTAATCAGCCGGACCTCAGAAGAAAAACAGCCCGCAGTCACACGCACTTTGCGGGCGTTTCATTTATTAGACCTGAGAATAATCATTCACTTGCGGTTCATTAGACATGAATGTTTATCATATTTAGGCTGATGACTTTGGCAAGAGCTAACAGTGCAGCCCGCAGTGTAATTACTTTCATTCTGCAGCTAATTGCACTTGTTAGCCACAAATTGGCTGCAGTCAATTTAATAATAATAATAATTCCTTACATTTATTATAGCGCTTTTCCAGATGCTCAAAGCGCTTTACAAATACACATTACACATATTTTGTATACATGCAATGGTCACTGTGGACAATACCCACAGGAGCAAGTTCAGGTGAAGTGTCTTGCCCAAGGACACAACGGCTTTACAGACGCAGCAGCGGCGGGTTTCACCCCTTGATCTGATGATCATTGCACAGCGCACTGCGCCACACCGTCCATCTTCACGCCTCGAGGTCATCGAGGCGCTTTTACAAGTACACAGTAGTATCATACATGTACTGTGGACAATACCCACAGGAGCAAATCCGGGTGAAGTGTCTTGCCCAAGGACACAACGGCCTGACGCAGTGGCGGCAGGAGCGGGTTTCGAACTGGAGTTCCCCAGCACTCCCCTTGATCTGATGATCAGATGCACAGACCACTGCGCCACCCGTCCCATAATTTAGCTTTATCTCGCAGAGAGGAACACTAATATTTACAGAGTTACGCTATCGCAGTTTGATCTGAAAGCTTCTAGCAGATGTCCTTTTTTTACATCTTGATAGGCTTGCAATTGTTTGGTGTTAGGGCTTTATTTGCAAAGTTAAAGTCTAACTTGTTTAACATAACAATACTATTATTCTTTTATGTTTTACACGTGACTTTCTTTATTCATTTCGCAACAGTAAAAAAACGTCAAACTATTTGGTTGATAATTGCTTTTTAAAATGGATTTGTTGTGCTAAGGCCACGTGAATTAACAACGTGTACAGGAAAGTTATTAAAATAAAGGAGTTAAAATGAAATTCAGTCCTTATTTTTAAAGTAAAGGATCATCTTTAAATGTATTATTACAATGTAGGCCTATAACATATAAGTACAGGAAACGTATCAATATCCTCATTAATATCCATGTAAACAACCAAATATTTACGTTTTTTTATAATATACAATAACGTGGAATACAAAAAGACGGATGCATATCGGCCGAATGTCTTAGTTAATTTAAAAAAACAAACATCAGGCTGCTTGGTCCCTTTAGAAAAGTATTGATACGTCAGACTAAAAATACAAATGATACATTTGTATGCTGAGAAATGTAAATATATTAAGGTTTTGCAAATACATTTCTGTTATTCATGCCTTGTATTTTACCTCGGTGTCAAAAAACGGAAGGTCATATTTTACGCACGACTCATTCCGCGGGACTTTAACGTCAGATCAAACTTTACAAACCCCTCAAGTACCCAAAACTGCAAAAGCAATTACACTTTTGTCGAAAGAGGAAGGACTAAATAAATGAGCTCACCATGTGCGTCGCAGTGATTCTCCTTCTCCTCACTTCTCCGGATCATTTAGAGAAGTGCAGCAGCAAGTGTCCGGACATCCAGCTCCAGCTCGTCTGCGGAGAAGAGCTGAAGACAGAAACTACCGAGAGAGAGAGGGGGCAACACACCGGGCAGTGGGGGAGGAGGAGGAGGGGGAGGGAGGAGGAAGATAAATGAACGGGATCAGCTGGGAGGTGCGTCTCTTCTTATAGCTGAAAGTATAACTGAAGTGAGCCAAGTGCTCCCACCTCCAGAGGAGTCACATCCTGCAGAGCACCTCTGCCAAACATGGCAAAATGTATCAAACTCAAACAAGGAGGGTTTTTTTTCAAACTGAGTCTAGGCTAAAAAGTTACTCTATTGTGATTTTATGGCTTACAAAAAATAATATTAAAATAAAAGAGAAAATAAGAAAAACGATTACAGGCCATTGTTAAGTATAAAGCATTTTAATTTCTTTGCCAGGTTATTTTGTATTGATAATGTCACTTTGACCACCACTCCATGTTGAATATCGCAACAGGCTAAATTATCCTCAGCCGACATTTTCTACTTTTGCTCTAATGATTAAAACATACAAATAACAATAATGGTCAACATAATAAAACAATAATCATGTATCAATCTGAAGTAAGTTATTTTGCATGAAGACTACTTTTTCTTTAAATACTTCCATACATGTTCACAGTACTAGTATTGCAGTCTGTTTAATAGCTGCTTTTATTTGAAGCCCCTGGAAATAACAAGTATATACAATATTTAACTAATATAAATAATTTAATGTTTGGTGAAACGCAGCTTTATCTGAAATGTAATACAATTCCAATGACCCTAAAGGCACTGATGCATCTAAAATTAGCAGAGGTCAGACAGAAATATATTTTAATAAATCAAGAGCTCTCAATTAAGAAAATAAATCTTTGGCTGAAAATGTTATGTTCTTGTAGGATCCTGTTACACATGATGAAAAGTGAATTGATTTTCAGGGTCTTTAACCAATAAATCCTCCTTCCACATTCAAATCCATTGATGGCAACCTTAGTTCATTTGAAAATAAACAATTTATCTGTATTTGTTGTTTCAACACACTTGAGGGGAAACAGTTCCTCAAACAGGTTCCTCTGATTTACAGACAAGTGGATTTTTCTACTTTAAAAGCAGTTATTGCTCTTTGAAATAAAACTAGAATTGTAAGACTTTGTTCAACATTTAAAGTCTTGTTGTGAACTTCTTTTATTTACCTTCTGGAGATCCTCTAAATTTACATTTATTCCCACTGGCGGGCAAATTGAGTACACAGTGGAAATCCAGTTGTAATAGTCTTATCTTGTATATCGTCCAGGCAAAGACCTCACTCTGCAGTTTGCTCCGATTATCCCTCGGTGGACTAAGAAAAACGGTTGAAGTTAATTGGCTGGAGAGGATCGTTCTCAGATGTGAACCAAAACTGATACAGATGGAAATATAAGAAAGAGAATCGAGACGGAGGGTGGAGGGAGGGAAGACGCTTGATTGGAGAGGAGGAAACTTTCCCAGAGAAAGCCATAAAACTGATTGATGACTTCCCCCGAGGAATGTTTCCCCAGGTGTGCTTTGTGTGTGTGTGTGAGTGTGTGTGTGTGTTGAATAGTTACAGTGCAGTTAAGAAATGCTATCCTTGGACGCAGGACAAGTGCAATAAAGTAAATTGAGGGGTGAAATAGCACGTTTTTGCATCAGATATTGCACTTTGGTCACGTAAACACAAGGGCACAAGAGATTTCAGAGAGGATGGAGGTGGAATACATTGGTACCATTGATGGGAACATTCAAAAATACGCAAATTGATAACAGAAATCATCACTAAAAAGGATGAAAATGTTTGACATCTTAATACAACACTTCAGGTGGTCCTTGACAGGTGCCTTGTGCTGCCAAACGTTGCACCCTGCAGCTAAGAGTGTGCTAACAGTCATTTCATAATAAACCAAATACCATGGAGGTATAATTATAAAAGTCAACATTAAGCCACCGTGACAGAATAAGAGCAGATTTCCCAATACATAGGTGTCGAGTTGATGGATTATCTGTTAAAGTGCAACAATAATGGCATTGTGCTTTGTGGTTTAATAATCAGATACGAATGTTCACAGGCAAAACGTCGAAAAGCTGTTTATTGCACACACTGTAGTTTTATTTAACATTTACAGAGGCAAAAAACCTTAAATGCTTGTTTTGGTAGCTCAAATGTGATTATGTGCTATCTTATGATCTGAAATATAACTATTACTAAGTCAATTTCCTTCTTTAAGGGAAACATGTAAAGTAAAATAGGGCAGACAAGTGCAAAGTGATCTACCCTCTGAAAAACAATGACAAATGTGGATTTTAAAAAGGCTTAAGAAAGAATGTTATTGAAACCTGTCTCTGGAAAAATCTGTTTGACAGTACATTTATTTTGAAGAACATAAAGAATCGGCCCAAATGTTCAACTCGGAACAAAGAAAATATTAGTTAAAGACAACTGGTGTTCCACAAAGAACAGTGTTTGGCCCCCTACAATTTACTCCCTATATATATGTTACAGTAATAATTGAATGTATGCTGATGACACTGTTTAAACATTTGAAAAAACCTTCTACAAATAAAGCTACATTATGGGTAAAAGGGTAATACAATATGTGATTGCATGATAGTGGATGAAAGACCAAGTCTGTTTCCATAAGTGAAATAAGTCGTGTATTCACCCCGCGTTTCGGATCTACTCCAAAGATGAATGAGTTATGCCTCGGCCCAGGCTACACCCTTTCACCTGGGTTAATGAAAATCAGGCCTGCTAAAAAAACAGGGTTAGGGTTAGGGTAGTCCAACCAACCTAACCAAAAGCATGCCATCCACGTCATAGGTTAATAGTGTAAATAAATTAGTACAATTCACAGTGTGTTTTACTTCTGGATATCAAGGTTCAGAGGCTGTAAGAAGATCTTCTATTAACATGGAGATGTATCTCAAATATCCTGTCCATTTCAGGGGTCGCCCCCCGTCATCTACGCAGATCATGTTGCCTCCCCTCTGACATTCTCCGATGTATGCAGGCGCATGGAGAGGGAGGAAATAATGGACAGACGTTTGCAACAGGCTTCTCTTTTAGACTTTTATCCAGGTTATCAACTCTGACATTTAGCAATAAAAACACACAGAAATGCCAATATTCTTCAAATATCTGCACGTAGCATTTTCGCGGTGGTAACTATGATGATTTTGTTTTAACGCAACAAGATACATCTCAGGCTTTGGCTCTAAAACATGGTTGGCAAAAAAAGCCGATTGGAAAATTATCCCTGTTGCCATGAACCAAATGCAATGTTTTTGTTTTTCCAAGCTTCCCCCATTTCGCCTTTGACACGAGAGTTGGCAAGTGCTGGATGGAGACTGTTGTTCTGCAATAAACTGCAAATGAACCTGCTGCGTTTGAGGATCAGAGTTCAGGAGAAAAGATCAGAGTGAAGAAGCTACAAGTCCAGAAATTCCAAGAAGCATTTATCAGGTCACGCATTTATCGTGGTGGAGCATCCTGGTAGCCTAAAGATCTGAGCTTCTTCTACTTTAGCCAAGAACAACCACCTGTTTGTTCCACCTTTACACATTCAGTAATAGCATACACATCTAAGCCGCTTAAGTCCTCTGATTGCAAAAATGTTCCCAGTTCCTTTTGTTGTTTTTCAGTTGTCTCAGAAACAAATGGAGCAACTGCAGTTTCTTAAATAGAATGAACAAATATTTTTCCAATAGATAATGGTAAAGTGAGAGCTACCAACGACAACACAAGTAGTATGGTCTTAAATATTGGATATGTAATGGCATGCACATACTGGTAAAAGCATCAAAGAGAAGCAAAGCAGTTTAAATTAACAAGCAAATGCAAAATAAAAGCGAAGAAAATGTTATTCCGAGACTGTTATCATTACACCTGGAAACACTTTATTCAATATGGAAGATCTAATTGGGAAAATACTCCAGTATTCAGCTGTGTTTCATTACAACACTATATTAAAACTAAATGACGATAGCACATTGACAGGCATCATCGGGTCTGCAAATAACAAGAGGATAAAAGCTCCAACAACACTATATAAAACTATTTTTTATTTTCTATTATTTGATTGCCTCATTGTAGTCTTGAATCGTTTTAAACATGGCTGAAACCACGAGAAGCACTTTCTTTGATAATGCTTTATAAACATAGTGTATTATTATGTATTGTAAAAGAGGTTTCAATTGTGCCAGGACCCCCTCTCTGGTTTGCACATTAACACATAAAAGGTCACGGGCACTTAAATATTTGTATTAAATCAGTTCAATACACATATTTATGTTTGGTTCAGAGGAGAAACATAATGGGACCCAAAATGGACAATAAAGGTTATTTTAATCATTTTATTGTTTTATGAATCACAAGCTTTTATATATTTTATTCAATACAGTTTGAGTAGTACAAGTATTCAAAGCATTACCAGTCTGCCTGTGCTTTGTTCTGCTCCTCAGGGCCCTCTTGTGGTTGGATTTTGCATCCAGTCTCTTTAATCTTTCAGACCTCATCGCCATCCACTGACTTCCACCTGACGCTAGGAAATACATGTGAGTATATCCTTTAAATGTTAATATGTTCTGCATTCATTTTTTAATGGTCGACACAATAAAGATGGATGCAACAGTGAGCAAAACGGACCTCCTGCTCGTGAACGAACAAGCCTTTCTCACTGGATCCTTGTTTAAAGTGGGCTCTGCTTCCAAGTAACATGTTGTATATTTCCAAAGACAACAATATGACACACGCGGAGGCATTTTTCTTTACACTGTAGGTATTAAACAAACATGTGAAAGCAGCACTGACAGCTGTCTGCGGTGCTGCTGGAGAGGAAAGGTTCGAGTTGAATCTGCAGGAGGTCTCTGGGCAGGAAACTGGAGCCGTCCAGCTGTGAGTCTGTGAAACATCTGCAAAGAACATATCCTTATCAGATTCAACCAGTAATTAGGGTGCATATTATAACAATGGGATACAGTATTATTACAGGCCACCAAAATGCAATCAAAGGAAGTAGTTTTAATTTGTAAATTAATTGCAGGAACCACTGTAGACATTCAAAGGTTGCAAAGGCCCCGGTGGTCTGTGAAGGGGTATCTGGGGCGAGAGTTCACATCCTTCACAGAGGAAGTTAAATGAGGACTTTCTCTCGATGCTCCAGTCATCCAAGGAATGATAAGACATGGGAAAATCTATAGTTTTCCATGAACATAGAACATTTATTTATCAGAGTAAAAGTGAAGGGTGAGTTATCCCAAATAGAGTGCCTAATTCAAAGCAAATGACTTGATTGGAGTAACAAAAAACTGCAAGTGAAAGTAAGTTCACATTTTTTTGGAAAAGTATGATGTGCTGTGAATTCTCCCACGTTTAATGTGAAAACAATATAATTTTTTTTGTATGAATTCTAAATATACAAGGCATTACATGGTCGCCTTTAACCCTCCTGTTGTCTTCGGGTCAAATCTGACCAATTTACAACTTTCATCAATCATAAGTTTTTTTGTTTTACATTCGATTGCAGGCTTTATGATATCCTTCACAGTAGACATTTGAACATATCAAATTGCTGATCACCACTTTCATTGAATTGTGGATGATTTAGTCAACTCTGTAACACCATGGTGTTCCCGGTCAAAAATGACCGCCATAAAGAAAAGGAATTAGTAACCATCCGGATCAGATAAAACACACACACACTCACACAGAACAATTTGACACATTTCCCGCTCTTCTGTGCCCATCCCCCCACATGGATCACACCTGGCACACGCAATACATGTTCAGTGTCTATTCTTTGTACATGTACTGCAGTTTTTCATGTATACCAGTAGTCTGATACAATATTTACAGTTTGAAAGGGTGTTAAATGAAATTTGGGTGATGATTAATGGTTTTTATGTTAATGTAATAGCAGTTAAAACAGGACCGGTCAAATTTGACCGCGAACACCAAATTAAGGGGAGGAAAACGAAGACAATAGGAGGGTTCGCATCACTTCAGGGCTGGACAAGAGGAGAAGTGACAACAGTAACAAAAAAGTATAAATATTAAGTGTGAAATTATAGGCCATGAAGTTGAAATACTATTATACACAGCCATGAATATTGTGTCTGTAAATGCACCTTCCATATTCACACTGGTATGAAATAGGAACATCCCTCAACACAACAGGACACTGCCAAATGTGTGTCAGTGTCAATATGAAACCACTAGGGGGCAGCATTTAGCAACGATCCAGCTGGTTGCATAGGGAGAATGAGTTGTACTAAAATGTGGTTTTCTTGCTCTTTTATATTCTTATAAAATAAACAAGTTCTATGGTAAAAGAAAAACAAGGTTATATTTTGATTCTTAAAAGGCTCACCAGCTACTATTGTTAGTAATTTAGACAGGGTACATATAAAGAAACTATAGAGAAGTAAAAGACATTGTGGTGTTTCATTGAAAACTGATAGAAATGTAGCAAAAACAAAAATATCCAAAAGTGTTATAAAAGGCATTTTATTCACACTGAAAAAACTGTACATATTGCATTATAAGGCTGTAATTGGGATGTAAACATGCTGCTTTGTACCATATAGTGTTGGCATTAGGAGATGTAACAGCGTGTAAACATCGTATAACACTGACTAAAATATGAATGGCAAAAGCTTGGAACCTCATTCAACTAAAATGTGCGACAGTTCATATACAAACAACGGGAGAAACGTAGTGTTGAAATCCAAAAGCACACATGATTATGACTCCCAAGACTCTGGAACCAAGATTTGGCAGTAGAAATATAATAAAAAAAGTTTGTGTATATTTTTTTACTATTGGCCGGGAAATTTGAGGTTACTCCGTTGTCTTTTGCGTTTCACTTTTATATATTTTCCCCCTCATAGCTCTCCAGCATCATGCGATTTCCTCTCCTCTTCTGTGCCGTGGCTTTCTGCCTCCTTGGCCTCACTTTTGATTCTCATGTCTCCTTTCCACATCTCCTTTATGCACTCTGAGGGAGAGAAAAAACAAAATACACAAGGAGGTTTAAGCTACATACTTTGTTATCTGCAGAGAGAAGAGTTAGTTCACTTGTGTTATGTTCAGTGAGTTCGCGTACACCTTATTACTCTCTATAAATAAATGGTGAATATTAAGTAACTATTTTGACATCTTTGGGTCAAGTGAACTAACTCCCCTTTTTTGACTAATGAGGGACAGAAAGCTTTGTACATCTCACCTGACAGTTGTTCCTCATTTCTCGTATAATAGATCAATGTATGCATCTGTTTAGCATGAATGTCAGATGAGACTTCAGTTGATGTGCTCTCAACCTGAATTAATCTAAAAACATTAGATTATAACGCGACGGCATCACTTTATCACCTTGCTCTGATGTCTTGAGGACTTGGTTCTGACAGAGGAAGCTCTCCAGCCTCTTCTCCTGATGATTGAAGTACCAGTCCTCCACGACCTCCTCATACTGCTCCAGCATCGTCTCACACTGAACAACACACACAAATTTAGGTTGGCAAACATATGACTATACCATTTTTTTGTATGTACTGTGTAGGGCTGTCAAACGATAACACATTTTAATCAGATTAATCACAGCTTAAAACTTAATTAATCATGATTAATCACCATTCGAACTATGTCCAAAAGATGCCATTTCTTTATGTATATTGGTGTGGGAATGGAAAGATAAATGAAAGAAGGCGGATATATCCATTTAACATACAGTATGTATGTATGTATGTATGTATGTATGTATGTATGTATGTATGTATGTTTATTATAACATTGTTCTGTGTGTCAAAATGAAAGACAGCCCACACACCTATCAGTCATCAAACCGTGGGGTCTTATTTCATTACGTGTTGATTTCTATCAACACGTAATGTTGTATCGATGTACACTGAACAAAAATATAAATGCAGCACTTTTGTTTTTGCTCCCATTTTTCATGAGATGAACTCAAAGATCTAAAACATTTTCTATTTACACAAAATAACCATTTCTCTCAAATATTGTTCACAAATCTGAAAAAAATCTGTGACAGTGAGCACTTCTCCTTTGCCGAGATAATCCATCCCACCTCACAGGTGTGGCATATCAAGATGCTAATTAGACAGCATGATTATTGCACAGGTGTGCCTTAGGCTGGCTACAATAAAAGGCCACTCTGAAACGTGCAGTTTTGCTTTATTGGGGGGGTCTGGGGGGGTCCGAAAACCAGTCAGTATCTGGTGTGACCACCATTTGCCTCACGCAGTGCAACACATCTCCTTTGCATAGAGTTGATCAGGTTGTTGATTGTGGCCTGTGGAATGTTTGAAGTTTTACACCCACGCATCCTCCTACCTGTTTCTTCATGTCTGACACCTCTACAGAGGGTTCGTCCCACAGCTCAAATGGCAGACCCAAATCTACTTTGACCCCTTTGTGGACCAGGTTCTTCAGAGTCGTCATGGTCTGACTGGCCCCCTGCATAATATACAAAACAGCTAGATGTCATTTTGATACACAGATTCAAACACAAGTTTACACTTTTCAATTGACTTTTCATGTGGAACAAACTGCTGGGAAACATGTCAAGACGGACCTTAAATCTGTGTAATGCAACAGATAAGAGGTTAAAAGCAGATTAGTAAACCTGACCTTGGCGTATCGGAGGCTGCCTGGCCTCTCTGCGTGAACATTATACTGCAGGACGCGCTCACATATGTTGTCCAGAGCCTCTGTCAGACGGGTTTCCCTATTGTCAGAATACAGGGTTAGATGGTGATGTTACACACAAACATACAAAGATACAGGTTTTCCAGCAGTCTAACAATGCAATGTGTGAAGTATTAGAATCAGAATACACGTATTAATCCCTCAGAGGGGAAGTTAACACTGGAAAGATGACTTTTTTTTAATTAATAGGCATGCATTAAACATTAGAGATGGAAATTACAATCTACAAAAGGTACCCACCCAGCCCAGGTGGAAAACAAAAAGTACAGTAATTGCATTTTTCAAAAATAAAATAAGTGTAGCATGTAGAAGTAGTGTGATAGCATCCAGATAACACAGGTGGAAATAAAAGTGTTTGTGTCAAAGTTACTACAGATTGTGTTATAGTAGTTTAATTGTATAACTAAAACATAGATCGATAATAGATACTTTATTCATCCCAAGATTAGAAATGATTTTGTCACAGCAGCATTTTGGCAATTGTCAATATACAAGAATAACAAAATGACTATATTCAGGAGTATCTAAGCATTATAAAATATACAGAATTAAATAGAATACCCTATAATAAACCTGCTGAACACATACACATAGTTAGTTGTACAGTAGCTTGTAATTAAGATAGGAGCAAGTCAAAGTAAAGTAGTATTAGATACTGTCTGCACTCTCAGGTATATTTAAAGTGACATTCCCCAGAGTTTACTCACGAAGTGTTGTATTTGATCGTCCTTCTCCTCCTGCCTGAGTCCAGCACCTCTCCCAGCTCCAGGACTTCTTTGGAGCGACCACTTTTCTCCAGAGCATCCTGCAGCTCTACTGACAGAAACTTACACACTGACAGACGGGAGAAACAGATATTTAAAAACGTTTTATAAGCATGTTCATGTCAAAGGCACACACTCCTGGCGTCAACTATGTAAACACAAGCCATACTGCTGTTACTTATAAAGCCACATACATAGCATTAAAAGCTAGTGTCACTTTTTTAAAATCCTACCTTCGCATTTGTTCGGCAGTCTTTCGTCTTGCTCTGCTGTAACAGAGCAGCAGAGGACAAAGAAAGTCAGTATAACAAGTTTCATGTCAACAGTTTTTCGGTTCTTACGGCTTAATAAAAAGTTCAGCAGCCACATCGGCAGTTTTAACGATCTGCGCATGCGTAGTACATCCTAACAGACACGACTAGCAGATGCCTGATGGTAAGATTTCAAGGAAGTTAGTCGATAGAAGAAAGAAGAAACTCGCGTCACAAGAAATGTAATTATTTATTTAATTACATTATATTATATTTTCTACCGCTGCTCTTCACTTATTTCTAACATATCATAATTGTTTTAGTTTGAGCATATATAATTGTATTTTTTATTTTTTATTTGTACTATTTCTATTTATTTTTTCGTCTGCTATTTCTTTAATATTTGCACACGTTGAGATATACATTTGTAAAGACACATTTCCTGGATACACCGTTTTTGATGATGGAAATCTGATTTATGATGTATATTAAACTGTATTTATATAATGATACACTTTATATAGCACTGCATTAAGATGCAGCACAAAGTGCTTTACAGAAACAACCATGAACTATACAACTATAACTAAAAGCCAAATTAAAAAGATAGGTCTTCAATGTACTTACTTATTAAAAGTATAAAAGCAGTATGGAGTTTAAAGAATATTTTGCAGTGCCCAAAAACTAATTTATAAAAAAAAATAACAACCGTATTTTCAAATATGCTCACATATTTAATCGAGGATATCATAAAACATGTGCTGCTATGTGAACAGTTTCCCAATTATTAAAAGACATTATATTTGTAATGAGCTCTGAGTTGATGCTCCAGGTTGGTCACATAGGAATGGGGGATAATTAGCCTGTTATTTGGCAGTGAGGTGGTTAAAATAGAAGGCGCTTGCCTCTTGGTATCTCAGGTGTCAGGGACAACACACTCGACAGCAACAGATACCCCAAGAGTGTGTGAGGGAGAAGATAGAGAGGAGAGGAGGGAAGAGGAGAAGAGAGCAAAAAGATAAGGCGGAAAACGAGAAGAGAGGGAACCGAGAACTGTGTTAATATGAGGACGGAAGAGAAAAGCAGTGAAACTCATCGAGTGGAGGAAGAGAAGAAGACAGAATGTGCTTAGTCACCAACCAGAAGTGAGTGACACACACACACACACACACACACACACACACACACACACACACACACACACACACACACACACACACACACACACACACACTCCGAGAAAAAAAAGCATGTTTATGTTCTCCAGCTGCAGAACAGTTTGCAGCAGAGGATCAAGTGTTCATCTTGAATATCTGAAACTCAATAGTGACTGTAGTTTTTTACTGGTGTGAAGTGAAGCTTCTATGGCTATAACTGTGTGTTATGTCACCAAGGGGGATGAATGTGTGTGTATTGTCTGTGTGGAGGGAGATATAGTTACACAGACACCCAGCTCCAGCAGTGTCACCCTGCCCTGTATGTCACGGCCATATGCACACACACACACACACACACACACACACACACACACACACACACACACACACACACACACACACACACACACACACACACACACACACACACACACACACACACACACACACACACACACACACACACACACACACACACTCTCTCTCGCATCAGCTCTACAGGATGTTACACACACTCATAAGACATGGTGTCAGGGAACTTGCAGCACTCACAACACGCTGTTCTCTAAAACTGCAGCATCATACTTTTGGTTTTTGCATTTCATTTTCTGATGTTTTTTCCAACTAGGTCCAATGACACTGAGTTGAGTATCTGGAGGAGATGAGTCAAACTCTCCCAACACTTTCAGAGGAAGGAATAAGAAAGTGTCAGCTGACAGTGGGACAGAGAAGAGGCAAGAGATGACCATTGCTGGATACACGTCGCAGCACATTGAAAAATGACCGTTCCCTAAATGACCAAAGGAGGTCATATTCCTGGATCCTCTGCCTGAGATCAGGGAATCGTTTCATGTCAGGAAAGCAACGGGAGAAACGTCTTAAAGGTAAAACAATGTACCTGCAGTTCATACTGTTAACACTGATCTAATCTGATGCATGTAGATTGTGGAATGACTATAGAATATCATTTAATACTAGATAATAATATTGTACGTAACAAATCTGAAAAGCTTTTAATATAAAGCATTGGATTATATTTAATACAGACTATGCTTAATTTATTATAAATTATCTAAGTATCAGTTGTGAATGTAAAGTACAGTCAATTCATATTTTATTTACTTATATTTGAATCTTTATTATTAATAAAAAATGTGTGGATTCAAGTTATTCCCGAGCCCTTTGCAACAACAGTTATATTTACATATTCAAATGAATATATTGACATAGTTTAGTCTTTATTCTCCTGTAAGGAAAGTGTGCTGGCAGCAAAGTAAAAAGAGACGAAACATGACATGCAAACAGAAAAATAAACTTCTTAAATGAACACACACACAGATAACTTAACAAACCAACACGTGACACTTCATATGTTCACAACAAATGTAATTGCACTATTATTTATTGTTCATAATTGATTGATCGTTGTCTATGAAGGTTTATATATTAGGTTTTATGTGATTAAATAATAATATCGAGGCACAGGAGTTCGTGATGTGTATCTGCATTTCGATGCTGCCTTCATTAAAACATGATTAGTCATACATTTGTTATGTGCAAAATGTTCATGGACAGTGCATTAGTGTTACCGTTATATGTTTTTCTCGTGTTTTTGTGTCTATCTGCATTAATCTGATACAGGAAAAACAAAACCTCACTGATAATTAATGACATTAACCGGTGTGGTGTACCCGATCACCTCGCTCTTCTCCGTACAGCAAGACCCCGAGCTGACCCCCAACACACACACACACACCTGGCATACTCTCGATGACACACACATGCTGCTGACTCAGGGACCCCAGCAGTTCATATCACTGACGACTAAAACGGTACTAATACCTTAGCGCTGTCCTAACCCCCTCCAAGAGACAAACACACACACACACACACACACACACACACACACACACACACACACACACACACACACACACACACACACACACACACACACACACACACACACACACACACAGAGACCCTGCTGGACCCCCTGCTAACTGGCAAGAGCTATGTAACTTTTGAGAAGTCAACAGACTTTCATATTTGCAGTAGTGTTTAACTAATGTACTTTTAAATTATGTATTTTTGTGTAGGATCTCACATCTCAAACATTTGTGGAACTTTACCTGGACCAACTCAGATATTTAAAAAACGTATACATCTTTTGGAGGTTTATTATATGTCAATGTTGCAAGTTGATTTACACTGTTTATATATATTACATTACATATCATCAGCATCATTACATGTAAATGTTCTGATAAACTAGATATGTTAAAGTAATCACGATTTTTTTTAAGTTCTTTTTTTTTAAGAATGAGTCTCTATTTCCTTGAGTAAAGGGAAACTAACTGACAGATGTTTGGCATTGCTGTTTTATTTTGAAATGTATATAAATACACACTCAAGGTTTAAACCAGTAGGGATGTCTTGTAAATACAATCCATTTATTATTCTGAAAGTGTAACCCAATACTGCTGCATGGAAAGTTCTATATGAACCCTTCATCCGTCCCCCGTCTCTTCTTCTGGTCCAAAGCCCTTCCTCTCCGGCCACAATGCCCGAACAAGTGAACCAATTCCAGGGTCAGAGCTTCCACAAGCTGAGGCGAGCCTGCCTGAGGCGAGGGGCCCTCTTTCAGGACCCTCTGTTCCCCGCCACCGCCCAGTCCTTATTCTACAGGAGGAAGCCCCCCCCGGGACTGACCTGGAAGAGGCCGAGGGTGAGTGTGAAGAGCATGGAGAAGTGGAAGAACAAGAAGGCCAATGTTGCTCTTTTTGTATGTATGAACTGCATGTTTTACTGTGTATGGTGAGAGTTGTTGCAACTTATTTGCCAGTGCCAGACACACATTTCCATTATATGGGTATTTAATGGACAATAAAGTATTCTGAATCTGAGAAGCTCCAAATCGGTCATTGCGACTAGTTCAAACCAGTTCGAACAACAACAAAGAGTTATTTGACAAATATATCTCCTCCCCCTCCCACATCTAAAATGATCAGCATGTCACATTTCCGTCAGATAAGTTAATTAAAGCACCTGCTATTATAGGAGAGGCGTCAGGCAGAGAAACCCAAGCCTTCAGGGAGCGAGTGGCGCGTGCTGTCGATGGACTGATCTATTGGTGTGTGTGTGTGTGTATATACAGTTAAGTTTAGATAAAGAAATAGCCCAGGTGTTTTTAGCTCAGTGTTGACATGGGTGCAGCAGTGTATAAGCGTAGGTGTTTATTGTGGCTAAAGCAAGACAAGCAGCGTTTAATGGTCGTTGGAAATGGGAGGTTAGAGTCAAGGTTAAATTATTTATTGTCCAGAGTCAATGGTCCAAACACCAATTTAATACATTATGCAAGGTCTTTTAATGGAATGGATTAGACGTGTATACAAAACAGTATTTGTTCTCGACTGTAAACAAAATAATTATGTGACTATGATTCAGTCTTTAGTTTAAGAGAATACACTTTTAATGGACTTTTATTAAAGATGCATAATAGAGACTACACAAGTTATCAATGTAAGCCTTTTTGTCAAAAGAAATGGAAGCTGTTTTAAAAAATATATTTTGGTTGCTTGACATTTTTTTTGTTTGGGAAGGGTATTTTTTGATAACACATGAAAGATGTCAAATCACCCCCCCCCCCCCCAAAGCTTTTCCACTTACAACTGGAACAAAACAAAACAAAATACTAGTGTCTGCATTGTTCAGTGAGTTAATTATAAGATTGTTTAATTTTAAATTTCATTTAAAATAATTGTTTTCCAAGTCATACGTGTCATACTTAAGAACTACACATTGTTAATAACAATTACTATCGAAAACTTGACCTGAATAACATATTAAAAAAAATACTTTCTATGGAATTCTTAAAGAAAATAAATGATTTTGCTGATCCATGGCAGAAGATAAAGGGTTAACGGTATTGTGTTCCTAATGCTCGGCTCAGGTATTTTAAGCGTGTACCACTGAGAGTCGGATGA